TTTTTTTTTTTTTTTTTTTTTTTTTTTTTTTTTGAGACAGTGTCTCACTATGTAGCCTAGGCTGGTCCCAAAGTCACTCTGTAGACCATACTGTCCTTGAACTCCTGGAAGTCTACCTGCCTCTGCCTCCCAGGTGCTGGAATTAGAGGTGTGCACCACCATGAACCTCACCCTCTTGACCTCCAGGTGCCTGGGCCTGCCCTAGAGAGCTGACTCTGGGGTCTGGGGAGGCCTGGGAACCTGCATCTCAGCAGTGTCCAGGGGACCACTGGGCTGCTGGGTGTCTGCGGCTCAGTGTCAAGAGCCCGTTACCTCACTACCGGGTACAGCATCTCTTCTTGGGGATCATGGGTGATGGCCCAGCTCCACCAGTACCTCCAAGCCCACACTTACCTAACTGTGCAGTAACCAGGAGCTATAAATCTTTCTGTGTTCGCATGACTGCCTTATTTGGGTGAGTGGGGGCCCAGGTGTGCTTTAGGTGGCTGTTTTGTTTGGTTCTTCAGTAAGACATCTCCCTGACCTGGCCAGAAGCCTGGTGTGCTTCTGGGTGAGTTCCAAGCAATGGCTTGGCTCCAGCTTCCCGTGTGGACTAGGGAGAAGAGGCCTCGAGAAGTTTGCAGCGGCTTTATTCCAGTCGGGTTAGGACCGTAAACCGGAACATTCCAGGACACAGACCTAAGGCTGTGGGGCTCCTGTGGAGTCCTCTCTGAAGAGCTGGGGGCTCTCTGAGGAGGTGAGGGGGAGTCCTAGCCTACCCTCAGCCTTCTCTTACTCCCATCCCCACTTCTAAACAAAAAGCTGCTCACAGGCCACCCTGAGACCATGAGCAGGTGCTGGGGACAGGTGGGGTGGTAACCCTGGGCTGGGGGTAAGTCTAGAAGCAGTGTGTGGCAGGCTGAGGAGGGGAGGGACCTCTGTCTCCCCTCAGATAATGGAAATGGCCCCTGCCACTCTCGCAGGGACCTGGTGGGATGAGCTGAGAAACAGTATAGTGCAAAGCTCCCCCTTGGGAAGCCCCTCCTGTCCGGAGGCCTGAACTAAGGCCCACCCACACGCTTCAAGCAGACTTCCTATTGGCAGAAGGGCTTCTTTTATAGAGTGGCTTCACAAGCGTGGCATCCATCTGTCCCGCAGAACAGACAGGCTGAGTTGTCCCAGCCTCTGCTCTCAAGAGCAGCTAGTAGGGTGCAGGCCTCCACGGAGCTTGTGGGAGCCCTCCAAAGTGCCCCTATGTGTCCTTGGTCCAAGAGTTATTAACAATTCCACAGCAGGGTTGGAGGGATGGCTCTTAAGAGCATGTGTTGCCCTGCAGAGGGCCCGAGTCAGACTCCCAGCATCCCCGTGGCAGTGCACAACCACCTATAATTCCAGTTCCAGGGAATCCAATGCCCTTTTCTGGCCTCTGTGAATACCAAGTATACACTTGGTATACATAGCTACATGCAGGCAAAACACACATAAAATAAAATATTTTTTAAAAAGAAAAAGATTAGCATAGGTAATGCCCAGGACATGTATGTATGGTGAACAGGCCCAGCATAGGCAATACCCAGGGCACGTATGTATGGTGAATACAGCCAGGGCTGTGTCTACCAAGGACTTGACTGGAACCTCAGAATTAATTTTCAAGATGGCTCCTTTTATGATCTCAGTTTCTCTCCACAAGTATCTGTCTCCCCAGAGCCATGTAAGCCTCATTGCGACATGGCAGCCAGCTCCTCCAAAGCCAGGGATGACAGAGGGAGAGAGTGTTCATCAGCTTCCATTGCTGTGACAACATACCTGAGCTAACTAGCTTACAAAGAGGAGCAGGCTTTAGGTCACTGTTTCGGGGATGTCAGTCCAGGAACTGACAGGCAGCTCAGTGGGTCGAGTACTTACCTATCAGAGAAGCCTAGGTTCAGATCCCCAGGTACTGTGTGATGCCAAGCAGGCAGAGTGGCCAGCCTGAAATCCCAGTGCTCAGGAGGTGGGGACAAGGGATGCCCAGAGCAAGCTGATGATGAACCCATGAGTTCCGGGTTCAAGTGAGAGACCCTGCCTCATATTAAGGCTGAGAGTAATTGAGGAAGACACCAAGTGTCAACCTCTGGCCTCCATATGTAACCACACACATACATGTGTCCCCGACATGTGTGAACGTGAACACACACACACTAAGTCACAGCCCATGATTGCTTGGCCTGGTTGCTTTGGACCTTTGGATGAAGAAAATGCCAGAAAATATGTCACCTCACACATGGCAGCAGGGGAACAATGGGTTGAGGAGATGGGGGTCTCAAGGTCACCTTCAGGAACACGTCCCCCTGATCTAACTTCCTCTCACCTGGCCCGCCCTTTAAGGGAGCCATCTTTCAGTAGTGGCCTTTGTGGAATCAAGCCTTCAACATGTGGATCTTTGGAGGAAACTTCCAGACACAATCTACAGAGCCAAAACAGAGAAAAGGAGACAGGCGTGAGACAACAGAGAGAGACAGAGAGATGCGCACTTAAAAAGTTACGATACAGCAATACGTGACAGTATTCCACATAGATGCAGGCCTGTGGCTTCAACTACACCTGCAGTGCAGGGTCCACCCTCCCCGCCCGTACCCAGACCTTTCTCCTCTTGCCCATCAGCTTCACCCTTGTTAAACAGCTCTCCAGTCCCTTCCTCCTGTCCCTGGACCTGACGTTTTGCTTCTGTGTCTGTGGCTGATGATGCAAAGCCTCCTAGAGAAGAAGCCTAGCCATCGTGACTGGCGTATTTCACTGAGGAATGGTTTTTAGGGTCATCTTTGTCAGAATTTCTTCTCCTCCTCCTCCTTCATCTTCGAGACCGGGTTTCTCTGTATAGCTCCCCCCCCCCCCTTCCTGGAACTAACTCTGTAGACAGGGCTGACCTTGAACTCAGAAATACGTCTACCTCTTCCTCCCAAGTGCTGAGATTAAAGGTGTGCGCCGCCACTGCCCAGCTAGCCTTTCTTCCTTTTGAAGGCTGAATCATATTCATTGCGTGGCAGTTCCACATTTTGTTTATCCGTCCATCTCTTGATGGACCTGGGGCTGCTTCTACCTCTTGACCACCGTGAATGGCGCTGTTCTAATGGGGTACACAGGTTTGTGAGTCCCTGCATTCAGTCCCGAGTATACACCTGAGAGCAATGTTGGTGTCAGGTGAACCCCGTTTCACCCTTTGAGGAACCGTGTGCCTTCTCCTGACCTCTGTGCGTGGCATCGTTCCTGCGTACAGGAGGGCAAGCAGTTCCCGTAGAGGAAATGCTCTATAGAGCCTGAGGTGCATCTTGTAGCCACCATGATGAGTACCCGAGGTGATGGGCCTGGTCCTGTCTGCTGAGCTGTCTCACTGTGAGTGGGGCTCAGGGCCTCACCCCAGTACCAGCCGTAAAGTAAATCCGTCGACCCCCATCTGCCAGCTCCCTAGCCTCTAAACAGGGTTTGGCCTTGTGCTTGCTCTAGAATGGTCCAGTCTCCTTCAGAGTCACAGGGAGGGCTGAGAAGGTGCAGCAGCCCTGCATGTGGCCTGACCTTGCAGTAAAGATGGAGACTGGGGAGGTCTGAGTGAGTCACTTGCAACAGCAAGAAGCTTTGCTTGGGTCCCCTTCTGGGAAGCAGCCCAGCTCATTCAGTCTGTCACCCCAGTCTCTGGACTCCAGGTGTTCTGGCGTCAGCAGAGAGGCCCTCAGAAGCTCAGAGAAGAGCCACAAAACAGAACCAACGGGGAAACATCCACAGGCCTTAGTAGGGGGGTTCCGGTATGGGGAGGGGGTTCCTCTGGAAGAGGGCAGAATGAACAGAAGAACCCATGTGGTCTTGGACCCTGTGCCACCAAGATAGGGTCCCCAGGCAAAGGGACTTCCAGACTAGATTGTGACAGATTGGTATCTGTGTGACACTTACCCTTGAGCACAGATGGTCTGTGCCTCACCTGGATGTGTCCCTGAGCTCAGCACCATCCCCAGGGAGGCTTCAGAATTCATTATTGAGCGTGTGTTTATAAATGCATGTCTTGTGCCAGGAAAGGCAGGCAGTCCCAGGTTGCCTCGGGTCACTCGCGAGAGCTGCAGCCAGGGCTTCTGACAGCTAAGCCTACTATTGACACCATGTGCTTGACCTGCCGGGGGAGCCAGTGCCACTGTGGGTGTTGTCCTTAGCTCTCAGGAGTGGAAGACGGTTCTGCTCAGGAAGGAGCAGGTCCCAAAGCCTCCCCCTTGAAGAGTGACGGAGACCAGGTGGCACAGCACCTGTGACTGCACACAGCTCCCGTCAGGAGTCCAGGGCCCCTTTTCCTGAATGAGGACTTGCCCTCTGTGCACCCGCTCACTCTCTTCCAGGCCTGGCTTAGAAGTCAGGAAGACCTTTCTGTCTAGTTTTAGGACTGAGGAGTTAAGCAAAGGGGCACACAAAGGATGGAGCCCAGGGAGAAGCCACACAGGTTACAGGAGCTGCAGCCAGGACTTCTGATAGCTAGCTCACTGCTAATGTCACATGCTGACCTGCAGTGCCTCTGCTGGTCAGGGGAGCATGAGCAGAAGGACCCCCCAAGTCCTCCAGTGTTTGGGTGCCCAGAACTTCTTTGCCCTCACAAGCCACAACTCCAGCTGAACTTAGGGGTCTGGGCCCTTGAGCTCTGCTCAGCAGAAGGGAAAGGAGTCCCAGCAGCAGGACCAGGCCAAGGGACCACCGTACTTCTGTTTTCCCCTCCCTGGGAGACTGAGGTGGGTGTGTTAGCTCCAGGTGAGATTTGCTGCTGCTTGCCTGACCCACACCCTCCTGGCTGGCCTGGCAAGAAGCCGTGGTGGGCTTACCCATCCCCAGCTCTGTGTTCCAGCCAGCAGAGTACCATTTACTTTCTGTTCTTGAAGAGATTTTGTCACAGTTCAGTTCTTCCTTAGCCTTTCCTGTGAAGTCACAGATCTGATGTGCTGATTAGGGTTTATTCAAAGCTATTAAAATAAACACCTGTTCTTAAAAATGGTGTCCACACCCCTACTCCTTTAATTCCACACACAGGGCCCTGTAGCTTCTTCTGCTGAAGGAACCTGTGTCCTAGAAAGGAGATGGGACCCACTCGGCCAAGCCTCTTCAGGCTCCAAGCTGGTGGCTGAGGACAGGCAGCCCCACCAACAGGCCTTTCCTGGAGGATAGGAGGCAATGAAGCAACTCTGTCTTAGGGTTCTATTGCTCTGAAGAGACATCATGACCACGGCAACTCTTACAAAGGAAAACATTTAATTGGGGTAGGCTTACAGTCCGTTACTGTCATGGCAGGAAGTACGGTGGCATGCGGACAGACATGGTGCTGCAGAAGGAGCTGAGTTCTACATCAGGATCCTTAGGCAGCAGGCAGAGAACAGGCTTGAGTGTCTGAGACCTCAAAGCCCGCCCTCTAGTGACACACTTTCTCCAGCCAGGCCACACCTCCTCCAATGAGGCCACACCTCCTAATAGTGAGTGATGCTCCCTGTGGACCTGAGGGGGCCATTCATATTCAAACCTCTACACACTCCAGGGACCCCACTGGACCTTCTCTAGGGCAGCATCCTCAGGGATACAGGGAAGAAAGCTCTCCTGTGACTGCCGGAGCCTGCTCTGCTCAGAGTGGTGTGTCCCGGAGTGAGGCAGCTGGGGTATCTCAGACAGGCCACCCTGATGGCCCCCACTAGGAAGGAGCCAGACGAATGTGCTTTTTTGGCTCAATCTCAGGAATTTTGTTGGCAGGTCCTAGGAGGCTGCTATTAGGTACCAGGGACTCATCTTGACTTAGGGAGACACAGGTCAGCCTGGACAGAATGGAGGTCCAGTTAGAAACAGGGTGTAGGGGGCTGGAGAGATGGCTCAGTGGTTAAGAGCACTGTCTGCTCTTCCAGAGGTCCTGAGTTCAAGTCCCAGCAACCACATGGTGGTTCACAACCATCTGTAATGAGATCTGGCGCCCTCCTCTGGTGTGTGGGCATACATGGAGGCAGAATGTTGTATACATAATAAATAAATCTTAAAAAAAAAAAAAAAGAAACAGGGTGTAGGGGGCCAAGTAGAATGTATCCATCCTCACTGAGGAGCTCTGATGGCCCAGAGAGCTGACAAGGATGTGGGTCCCAGTGGATGGGTTGGGTAGGGTGGAGTGGGGGAAGCTTTGCTGTCAATCTTAGAGCCAGGAAATGGAGGAAGAAACTGAAAGGCCTATGTCTGTTGTGGCTGCTGCCAGGCCACTGCCATGGGCTTCAGAAAGCAGTCCAGGTCCCTAAGTGGCCCCAGACTTGGAGTCTCAGTCATCTGGGTTTTCTTATACCCGTATGACAGCGGCGATAATGATAGACCCAGGGAACGCCCACTGTTTCACGTAAGCACATAATTCGCAGCAACCTACGGGCAGGTGTGACTTCCTCCCACTTTACAGAGCTGCAGACTGAGGCTTGGGTGACTGGAGGGGGGTCAATTCACACAGGCCACAGAGAGAGTCCCTCTGCTTCCTGACTCTGTGGAGGGCCTGGTGTGTTCTCAAAGGTAGACACAAGGTGACAGGTCCCATGGCGCTAAGGCGCTGGGCCCAGGCTGGGGAGCAGGGCAGTATCAGAGCTCTAGGTATAAGGACACTATCAGGATGGTGCCTGGGAGAACCAGCACCCAGAAGAAGGTGCTGGCAGCCAGCTAGAAACTAGGACAGTGGGGGAGGGTGCAGGGAGCAGGAATTGTGTGGGCTGTTTTTGCCTGAGGTCCTGGAGCCCTGTGGGACCAGGGAGAAGGTGGCCACTCTTCACCCTTCAGCCTCGTGGCCCAGTCTTGGGTGGCAGGAGACAGCAGGAACTTAGAGATCCCAAGAGTACACAGACCAGGGCTGGCAGTATGTGCTCACTGGAACCAGACCCTTGATCCCACAGCCCCACTTGACCTTCTGTGGGCTGTGTACCCTCAGGTGATTAGCCAGACTCTGCCGCTGTGCCCTTGTCTGCAGCCTGGAGGGGTGGTAGGTAAGCTGGCATCCAGTGCTGGTCTAACAAAGGGGCAAATCTGCACATGGGCGAGCAGGGCCCCAAGGGACTCTTTCCTAGAGAATCCTTCCTGCTTGGTGCAGAGGGCAGCTCCCTCACTCCTTCCTCAGTGCTCCGGAGTTCCTCATTCCTCACAGCCCACCAACCCCTGTCCAGCAGGGACTAGGGGGGAACCTGAGCACAAGTTTACAAGGGGCATGGAAACGGGACCAGAGGGAAGGAGACAGACCTCGCTAGCCAAAGGAAATCACAAGTCAAGGTCTGAGCCTTGAACACTACCCCACTCCGAATAAGCCTTCTGCCAAGCCTAGTCCCTGTCCTGCTGAGCCAGTCTTGAGTCCTTGCTGAGTCCAGAATGAATAATGGGTTTGTTTCCTACGGAACCCTCTCCTAAGATGGTGTGGTTTCTGTCGGGGGCTCAGCAGCAAGCCTTTCCTGTGTTTTCCTCTGAGAGGGTTGGAAACAGGAGAGCAGAGAGGGGCCAGGGGAAAGGGCAAGGTGCTGCCCACAGCTCTGTGGTGTTCCTTCAGGTTCGGCCTGCAGCACCTAAGGCCGGCTCGTAGCTCCCCAAGTCCCAGTCAGCCTTCTTGTCTTGGGGAGCCCCCGTCAGTCCCAGACAGGAGCTCCCTCACCCAGGACTTGCACCACTGCTGCTGGTGTGGACTCAGATAGGGTGGAGGTGGGCACGGGGGTCTATCCTGGTCTACTTCCAGCTCCTCATGACTTCTCTGTCCCTGCAGTCCGTCTCCATGACAGCATCTCTGAAGAAGGCTTCCACTACCTGGTCTTCGATCTGTAAGTGCCAGAGCCAAGGACCCTCGCCCTCTGCCACTCCCAGCGTGGGGCCTCGGCCTCCTCAGATTCAGGAAGAGTTCTGTCCCCACATCAGGCCACCCCTGGAGCGCACCTCTGCAGGGCGTTACCTCATTCCCAGACATAGCCAGCTTACCCACCTCTGACTTGGCTATGCGCAGGTTTTTACCCACAAGTCTGTGTCTGACGTGCTGAGGTCATCACGCAGAAAACTGGGAGGTGGGGCCAGTGGAGGGGGACCACAGAGAGCAGTCAGTGCCCATGCCCCTTCCTCCCTTCTGAGGCCTCCCTTCGGGTCATGTCACGCCAAGCACAGCTAGCTGCACAAGCATGTGTGTTTAAGCATGACTGAAAAGATGTATGTATGTTTACACACATGTGTGATGATACCTGAACTTGGGAGAGAGTGTAAGTACAGAGATGGTTGTGTAAGGTTCATCGGTGTACATGCATGATGTCTGTTTTGTGAGTGAACCTGTGTGTGGTTTGGAGATAACAGGTGTGTATGTGCGTGCATATGTGTGTGTGCGCATGTTAAGTGTGTTTGCATGAGAGTGTGCAGTAGCTGAGTGAGAAGGCGTTTGGGGCCAACTCCGCCTCTCACTTCCTGCCGGATTTAGAAGCGATGATCTCATCTCCCTTACTCTTGACAGCTTCTGCTAAGCAGACTATATTTAGCTGTCCGTGAACCAGGGCTGCTTCGGGACCCTGGGCTGGGTGGGGGCCCAGGGGCTTTGGCCTGCCCTGCTGGCCTCCAGACTGCACAACCAGGGGAGCCTGGATCTGGTGCTGTTGCCATGGTTACTGCATGCCCTCTGGCTGCCCTTGAGCAACAGGCTGGGCCTGGGAGGTGCCTTCCTAGGCCCACCTCTGCTCTTCCTCCCTCAGGTGACAGATGTCCAGGCTGGCGGGCATACAGGCCTTAGTGTCCTCTGTCCTGGTAGGGTCTTCTGGTGAAGCAGCTAGGCAGCCCCTTGGTGGAGTTTGGTTATTTCTCAGATACCTCTGTGTGTTTCACAAGACCCTACCTAGAATTATCAGCCGGATAACGCTACAGTCTGCCTGAATTTGTGCCCTGAGACGTCAGTCCCACGGCCTGAGGTGGACGGGGTCCACTTTTACCACCCTCTCTTCTCCAAAGACAGAGGCTGCGGACTGAAGGTGGTCCTGTCCAGGGCCCCTGATGGCCAACAGATGGCTACAATTATTTCAGGAGCTGAGAAGGAAAGAGAGTGGGGGGAAGGGATATATGTGTGTGTGACACATTTATCTCTCAGACCTCCTAAGCTATGCCAGGCAGGCAGCCGAAGGAAGACTGAGGATGGTGGGTCTGGACAAAAAACCTAAATACCCTCCTTCCATACCTCCAGAGCCTCCAGTGTGGTGGGCCCTGAGGTGGTCTGGTAGCGTCCCAGCAGACCCTGAGGCATTATTAACTTGGAGCTCTGCAGGTTCTGGGAGATGACTGGTGCATGGGCCTGGGAGATGATTGTGCACATGGGGCCAGGGAGATGACTGTGTACACCGGGCCTGGGAGGTGACTGTACATATGGGGCCTGGGAGGTGACTGTACATATGGGGCCTGGGAAGTGACTGTGCACACGGGGCCTGGGAGGTGACTGTGCACACCAGGCCTGGGAGATGACTGTGTACACGGGGCCTGGGAGGTGACATACACACTGGGCCTGGAAACAGAAGCTACAGGGCAAGGATCCCAGCAGTGATTCCAAGTCTCCCACAGCTGCCAACTCAGTAGAGGCCCAACTCCCTGCCCTGAGACTCTGTACCAGCAAATGGCCCTTCCTGAAGACTCAAGATACCTCATGGGGCCTGGGCCTGGCACAGCTCTGGCACCTCCAGGGCATCTTTTGAGCTACAGCTCTGCGCCAAGACCTTATGCCATTTTGTCTGCCCAGACTTGACTTCGCAGAGTCCGGTTGGAGAATATTTTTTGCTGAGACTCAAGCACTGTCACCCAGTACTGGGGATAGCAGCCCCTTCCCTGGGCTGCTCCTGAACCTGACTCTTCTGTTGTACATGTGTGCAAACTACACACTCACGGTGCTGCTTTTTCCACTTTGGGGTGGGCAATTGCTGGCTAGAGACAGATAAAGGAGAGGAGGGTGTGTGGGCAGAAACTAGCTCTGTGGTCTCACAGAGTCAGGAACTCAGGCACCTCAGGCCCTCAGCCCACTGTGGAGGCCAGAGCCAGGCACTGGATCCTCTGGACCCTCTCACCACTGCTAGGCCTCCAATCTGGCCCGGGCTGGGAGAGCATTGAAGTGGAGAAACCAGGCCTGGCTCAAACCCCTGTGCTGCCTACTCTGAGGAGACCACTTAGACCTGAGAACTGTTTTCTCCGGGGATGGCTGTGAGGACAGGAGTATTAAATGTCATCAGGTGTGAGCAAGCATGCCCTTGATAAGTTGTTGGTGTGCTAGGATGGAGGGGATGGCAATGAGAGGGTAGCAGTGATGGTGATGGTAGTGTTGGTAGTGGTGATGGTGAGGTGGTGGCGATGGAAGTAATGATGTGGTAGTGATAGTGATGGTGGTGACCGTGTTGGTAGCAATGATGGTGGTCCTGGTGGCAGTGATGACAGTGGTCATAATGGTGGTGGTGATGGGTGAGGATGGTAGTGACAGTGATGGCCATGGTGGTGTAATGATGGTGGTCCTGATGGCAGAGGTGACACTGGTCACAATGGTGGTAATGGTGGTGATGGTGATGATGGTGGCAGTGATGGATGAGGATGGTGGTCCTGGTGGCAGTGGTGACAATGGTCATAATGGTGATGATGGTGGCGGTGGTGACAATGGTGGTGATGGGTGGCGGTGGTGGTGATGGCGGTGGTGGTGACAATGGTGGTGATGGGTGGCGGTGGTGGTGATGGTGGCGGTGGTGGTGATGGCGGTGGTGGTGATGGTGGCGGTGGTGACAATGGTGGTGATGGGTGGCGGTGGTGGTGATGGTGGCGATGGTGGTGATGGCGGTGGTGGTGATGGTGGCGGTGGTGGTGATGGTGGCAGTGATGGGCGAGGATGTTGCTGGCAGCGATGCAGGGATCACGGTGATGAGGATCTCCAGGTCCATGACCATGTGCTTTCCTCGTAGGGTCACCGGTGGGGAACTCTTTGAGGACATCGTGGCACGAGAGTACTACAGTGAAGCAGATGCCAGGTGTGTCCAGAGCTGCACACCACGCTCCCCTCTCCTGACCTCCAGCTCCGTCCTCTCTGAGCCCCACCCCTGCCCTTCCTGTAACCCACATTCGTCCCCTGAGTCGCTGTCATCTCCATGGCCCTCAGAGGTCAACTGAGCAGAAGTGTTAACAGGTCTAGGGCTAACTGGGAGCTCTCTGAGCAAGAGGCAGGAGCAAGGCCAGCTGCGCAGAGGTGTGGTCTAGGGGGAGCAGTGGACACGCACACTAGGGGGTCCTCTCCTTGTGGTGGCTCACAGGGGAGGAGCCCTGGACATCCTCCTGCTTTGCTCTTGGACATCCCCTCCACAGTCCACTGGCCTCACACAGATAAGCATGTCCACGTGGTTTTCTAAGAAAGACAGGCCAGGACCCGATCTCTATCCACGATATGCTCTCCTCCCAGCATGATCCTAAGAGAGTGCTAGCGGTGCCATTGGAACGGGTGCCGCAGGAAAAGCTCTCGGAGCTCCTGGTCTCCTACTCGCCACACGCCAGGGCAATGGAAGAGGCCAGGGGAGACCTGAAGCCTTACTGTTAGTACAGGGCCCTGTGTCCTCTTATCCGGGATGCTAGGCAGAGGATTGAGCCCTGGACCTTTGGGCCTCTGGTGTGCAGGTGAGTGGAGGTACATGGATTCCACCCAGGCCTGGATTCCTCGTGGATATTTGAGGAAACTGCCTTTCTCTAGGCCAGTCTTTGCCGGGACAATGAAGAAGGGTGATGACCCAGAGATGGTTGTTTATGGCATGGCTGCTGGGGTCCAGAAGGCAGGGTGTCAGCTGTGGCCTCTGGATGGGTTTCTGGGGTCCACATCAGACGCTCCCCAGACTGTGTTCTGTCCCCAGGTATCTGCAGATTGTCACCCCTGCCTGTGGGCCCTGCCTACCTTTGCCTGGCCCCGGAGATAGATGTACATTTCAAAGAGAAAAGGGTCCTTTCCGAGCAGTCGAGTTATGCTGGTTTTAAATTTTTTTATCTTGTCTATTTTAAAGTTTGTCTTTAATGAATATGTATTACATCTCTAATCGAGAAAAATGAATATTATTTTTACAGGAGCTTTCTGTGACTCGGTTCTGAGCAGGCAGGCATTCTTGCTTTTCACCCCAGGCCCCGAGTCCCTGTGGGAAGGCATGAGAATCCTGGGTCATCATGACTTCTTAGGTCTTCCCCACGGAGCCAGGCAGCACAGGCCAAGCCACAGAGAAGGGCAGGGTGGGACAGGCCTGTGACCCCAATTCTCAGTGTCAGGAAACTAAGGGTGCAGCTGGGTCTTTCTGGAGGCTCCCTCAGGAAAAACATTGTGTTTTGAAAAATATCCTAGAAGAGGTCTGTTCTGTGGACTGGAGGAAAAATAAAATTTTCCCTTAAATTCTGCTCATAAGAGAAACAGAAGGTGGAGGGGAGCCCCTTTTCTCTGACCTAAAATGCTGGTAAGAAGTGTCAGTAAGCTGGGATGTCCCGCCCTTCCAAGAACCTGCTGAGGTGTCTAATATTCCTTCTCTCCAGCCCTTGCCCATCTCCATCCATGGGGGGAGGGGGTCCCTGTAAGCCTTGTCCTCTAACCTGGGACCAGCTTCTACCATTGAGGTCAGAGGCCCAGCCTTAGCCTATCTCTGATTGGTCCACAGTGCCCTCTGGTGTCTTTAAGGCACCTGGCCTGTAGCAGAACTCCCACCCCCACACCCCTCATTTCCGGACCCCCAGCCTTCTTGCTAAAGAGGGATGGAGGAATGGGGGACAACCCTGTCCAAGATCTGTTGGGTCCAGAAGGGCTCAAGCCTGGGAGTGGCTGAGAGTTCCCAAGTTCTTAGGCTGTTCAGGTGATAGGCACCTGTGGTCTGGGAGAGGGTTGTGCTCTGTGCCCTTGCCAGGCACCCCCATGCCTCCTCAGAGGATAGGAATCCTTACTGCTTCCCAGGGAAACCCTATGTGGAGAGTGTCTCACTATTTAAGGTTTCCTGGACCTAGCCCTGGCCCAGAAGACATGGACTCTGTCTCACCACGCAGCTCTTCACTGAGCTCTGTCTCTCTGGGATGTGGGAATCCAAGGAAAGGGACATGCTCAGTAGACAGGCTGTGGGGAAGGTTGGGTAACCTGAGTCCTGAGAAGAGAAGCAAGCACTCAAGGAATCCCCACGGAGAGTCTACACCCCACTTATATGACAGCCCCAGTGTCTACAGGGCGGTTCCTCTGCAACCCGGGCTTCTCTTTCTCACTGGGCTGCTCCCTGCACCGAGGGAGAACACACAGCTGGGACTCTGGCCTCGGGCGGTCTGCTGGCTGGGCCTTTATGCTTCTGCCTCAGACTCTGGTGCCTAACAGGGAGTCTGCTTAGACCGGCCCTGTGATTGTGACCCTGCAGCCAGTGTCCGCCCAGGGTGGATCCCAGCACCGACTAGGGTAGAACTTGTGCCCAGGTTGAGGGAAAGAGCCCCAGGGAGATGGACCGACGTCTCTGGCCAGATGTAGGGGAGGCAGGTTCCTGATGTCCAGCAGGAAACAGGCAAGAGTGGCTTCTCTGAAACACTCTCTATCCAAGGAAGCCGGAGGTTCCTTTCCGAGCACCGCGGGGCTTTTATTCTGAAGCTTGTAGGGGAACCTTAGAGGTGACCAAGTCTTTTTGCAAAATAAGGAAAACAAAGTTCCCAATTCTGAGACTGATTCTTGCAGGCCTCAGAGGTCAGACGCAGTGGCATACACCTGTAGGCCTAGCTTCTGTGCTGCTGACTAGGACTGAGAACCATGGCCAGAACCTGGCCAGTGTCCAGAATTCTGGCCACAGAGCGACTTCTAAATGAATCAAACCGTTAGGAAAAGTATTGCCTTTGCTTGGCGATGGATGTAGCAATCGGGCCAGAGCCACTTGAGGAAAGGTCCCTAAAGAGAGTTCCCTGTGTGGGCCGTTCATGGGTAGCCTGCCACTTTCCTTATGCATCCTGGTACCACATTCTCCTAGAGAGCCTTGGCTTGCTGGCCAGCTTGTTTCTGGGTGCTAGTGACCCTCTCAGAGTGACTGTGAAGTCTGGCAGGGGCCTCCACCTGTGTGAGATCTGGACTATTCCAGAAAGGGAAGATCGCGAGCCCAGCAGCAGGGCTAGTGTCTCTGGGCACCTCAAGAGGTCTCTGGTGCTTTCCCTGAGGACTCAACCATCAGGAAGGGTGCCTCGGGGGACAGGAGGGTCCGACAGTATGCACTACCACACATATACTGGTCGTACCGTCATGGACAGTACGCCACAGGGCCTGGCCTAGAGCCTTGACTGGACTTAAACGATGTCTCGAGAGACCAAGCTAGAGGAAGCTCAGTGAGGAAGGTGCCAGCTCTGGCCCACAACATTACAGAGACTGCCTCCCACATAGTGGACATGGTTCTTTCTGAACTCAGAAACCACAGGTTCCTACCCATTAGGATGTCAGGAGTGAGCGCCACAGCGTAGAAAACTTAAATGAATTTCCCGCACAGTGCTGGCCTCATTTACATATGGCCAGACTCAAGGGGAGGTGCGCTGTTTGAGAAGGGTGCGCTCCATACCCCAGGGAAGCCAACCTTTGGTCACTCTGCTGTCTCTAGGGTAGAAGCCCATGGGACTTGTGCCTAGCACCAGGGACTACGGGGACTGGGGGCTGTTGGGCACAGGCTACAGAGTGTACATGCACTGGTGGCGCAGAGTCCGATATGTGGACAGACAGGAAGGGTCTGAGGCTGACATTGAAAGATGTCACTAACTAGGAGCGAGCTGGAATAGCAGGGACACCTGTACTCAAGCTGTCCCCTGGCTAGAGAGGCACACCCTGCACAATGGCTCCTGGAAGCGTGAACTGAGCCGGGCTGGCTCGTGGATGTCCAGGTGCCATATCTGTTAGAGGAAGCACACAGTAATGCATCGTCACTACCCCGAGGCACACCCTGCACAATGGCTCCTGGAAGCGTGAACTGAGCCGGGCTGGCTCGTGGATGTCCAGGTGCCATATCTGTTAGAGGAAGCACACAGTAATGCATCGTCACTACCCCGATGCACACCCTGCACAATGGCTCCTGGAAGCGTGAACTGAGCCGGGCTGGCTCGTGGATGTCCAGGTGCCATATCTGTTAGAGGAAGCACACAGTAATGCATCGTCACTACCCCGAAGCAGACAAGCTCATCTCCGTACCACGCACCCATGCTCCTGCCTGCTCCACCCTTTCTTGCCTGAGTTTCCGCACTCTCTAGCCCACAGTGCTCACTTACTGCTGGCATCCCTGCCCACAGCTTAGGGTCAGCCTTGCCTATCTCAGCCTTAAAGGGGTAAGCTGGACACCAGAGCCTTTCCCTTCAGAGTTAGCTCTGTGGATCTGGTTCAAACTTAAGCACACCTGGGCCCAGAAGAAGAGGCAGAGCAGGGACTAGAATGGCTGCCCTTGGGGCTGAGCAAGGACTCCCTTGTGGCTAGCATCCTTTCCCCACGATTCCCTACATCCTCCTTGCTCCCCCAGGCTGGGGATTGAACCCCAGTGTTCCACAGCCTGCCTTTCCCCATGCTGCCCCCTTCCTGGCCACCCCCAAACCATTCGACTAACTTGCCTGCTGTTTGTCATAGTCACTGCATCCAGCAGATCCTGGAGGCTGTTCTCCATTGTCACCAAATGGGGGTCGTCCACAGAGACCTCAAGGTGAGTCTCCACTTTGCTCGGTGATAGGTTCTGTCCCCCACACCTACAAACTGTGTGAAAGGAGGTGTGGAGTAAGAGGGAGATGTGGTGGGGAAGATGTGTGTGCATACTGTGTGCTAGCATGAAGGAGTGTGAGTGCATGTGTGTCTGTCTCCGTACAGGGCCACATGCATACGTGTGTGCATCGAGGCATAGGTGCATGTGTATATCGGTAACTGGGTGTGTGCATGCATGCGTGTGCATATATGTGAGAAGTAGCCGCACACTTACACCCCAGTGCCTCTATTGCTGGAGGACCCAGCCTTCTCGAACCATCCTGTTAACAGACGTATACTCAGACTCTCACTTTCTAATCTTCCACCAAGATGCAGCTCTCGAGGGTGGGGACACAGGTGACCCGGGAGAGGTGATGAGAGTAGCTGAGGCCAGCTTAGCCAGCTCCTCTCAGATCTTCTCTCCGGTTCTTTACTGTCCATGGCTAGACTATGGTCTCCAGGCTCTGTTCAAAAGAAAATTTGTAGCTGGGTGTCATGGCTCATCCCTTTAATTCCAGTGCCCAGAAGATTGAGGCAAGAGGATCAGGAGTTCAAGGCTAGCCTAGGCTACATAGCAAGTTCAAGGCCAGCCAAGTCTGCATGAGACCCTGCCTTATGAAAAGAAAACAGTTGACTGCAAACTCTCAGAAACATCCCTCTTTCTCCCTCCCCACTTCTTCCCTAGAATCTCTCTTTTTCCCAAGGCCTGGTTCAGCCTCTTGCTGAGTCCACCTGTTTGGGGACAGTGTAGATGCCAGTCCTGACCTGAATGTCTTCAAGGCCAGCCTTCCCCTCAGCATTGGTGTGGACTGGTGTGGTCACTCCTTCCTTAGGCTGCAGTCAGGGGCCAACATTTGCAGCTGTTCTGGGGAGGATGCCACACAGTAGACCCGGGATGTTCCCGATGTTCCCTGCATCTCTTCCTGTGTCCTTGCTTCCTTGAGAGTCCTCTCTGTCTTAACTGGCACAAGGCCCCTGAGATGGTGGCCCATGTCCCCCATTTCATGAGGTGCAGGCACTCCTTTCGCAGAGAGTGAATGCTGAGGCTGAAGCATAGACGAGGACATATGTGTCCCCTCATGTCTCCAGTCCTGGACCGACAAGATCTTCCTTTGGAGAGGATATACTGTCCCTCCTTTCCCAGAGAGAAATCCCACCGTCTTGATGAGGCAGACCCACAAATGGCACAGTAGGTTGATGTTACGCGGTCCCTCAAGGCGGGAGAGAGCATGGTTAGCGGCTGTGTCTCCATGGTGGCTGTGCAGGAGCCAGAGTGCAGCCCAGCCTCTAGGACTCAACCACTGCCTCCCTCCAAGGTCCTGAACGTCCTTGCCTTGTACCTTCTCAGGCCCCCTATCTTCCCCATCATAATTTCCTGCAGGAAGGGGTGGGATCCCAGAGTGAAGCTTGGGGCCCCTGCCATGCTCACAATGGCAGAATCAAAATGGGCAAGGCGGAACATGACCCTTGCTTATCACCAGTGGGGAGGGAGTTCTAGGGGGACTGTAGCCTTGGGTTTGCCAACTTTGCCTCCATCGCTAGAGCTCCCGTCTGCCCATAGGCCCAGAGCACCCAATTCAGGAAGCCCACATCCTTCTGTATAGAGTGGGCACACTTTGATTCCAAGAGCCACCATTATGCCATGTAAAGTCTCTGAGACAGATAACAAAAGCAGGCCATGTGGCAATGTGTGGTCTGGCTGCAGTATGTCCCAGGATTGGCGTGCCTCTGTTCCTATGAGTTTGCCAAGGGAGCCTAGGGGCTGAGGAGTCCCCTGGTGGTCAGGAGCCAGGAACGTCCTGCTGAGCTCTGAGAACTGACAGCCAAAGACCTGCTCCTTGGGGGCTAATGCAGCCTCAGGGACAGGAGGGACAAGCCAGAATGCTATTGTGAGCAGAGGCTGACCAGAAAGGCCAGGGAAAGCCATAGCAGAGGGGTCTCTCAGACTCAACAACCCAGAGACAACAGTTTCTCTGGTCGCTTCTTTAGGACAAAACAAATACCCTCCAGCTGAAGCAAGGATGCTTCTCCTTAAGGAAGCTTTTCCCACCTGTGGATGCAGCCAACCAAGTGGCCCATGCTCCCTTTCTGTCCCATGTTGTCCTGTGTGGTAGTGCTGGCTGGAGCTGGGTGGAACTTTGCGAACAGGCTGTGCCCCGCAGATAGATGCCCTGGGCTGACCCAGGTGTTGTAGACCCTGGGTGTTCTTCCATGTCCTGTGAACCCCTGAACTCTCCACCATGTCTGAAACGCGAGGGGCAGGACCGGCCCTCTGTCAGTGGGGTAGCCCTGTAGCCCAGAGGTGGGACCTGGTGTGGTTGTTCAAGAGGGTGACCTACAGGTTTTGTTCCCATTTTAGGAAGCAGGATACCCAAGTGCAAGCTGAGAGCCAACTTCCCTTTGAATGACTAAGATGGCTGTTCTTGTCCCCAGAGAGGAATCGGGTATAGCATATAGGTCTAGGACTCAGTCGTGCCCAAGGATATCCATGTTGGGAGGCAGGCTGTGCCTCTCTGTCCAGCCAACTGCCGCTACCTCTGTTTTGTCCCCTGCCCCTCACAACTGCTTGCGGTGTGAACACTGTGCCCTGATGGCTGTCTCCCTGTAGCCTGAGAACCTGCTTCTGGCCAGCAAATGCAAAGGGGCCGCAGTGAAACTGGCGGACTTCGGCCTGGCCATCGAGGTGCAGGGAGACCAGCAGGCGTGGTTTGGTGAGTGTCAGGGGGTGGGCAGGGGGTCCTGGCAGCCCCTCATGACCCTTCATGGTCCCTTCCCCTCTGATAGGATTTGCGGGAACGCCGGGCTACCTGTCCCCCGAGGTCCTTCGGAAGGAGGCGTACGGCAAGCCTGTGGACATCTGGGCATGTGGTAAGACCTGTGTGTCAGAGGTGGTCGGGGTGCATGATGACCGTGTGGCGTGTATCTCAGGGCTTACTCCCTCTGTCCCAGAGTGTGCAGGTGGCTGGCTTACCCTGCCATGAACCAGTCGTGTGTGTCACACCTGCATTTGGGCTGCCTTGGCAGGGATCTCACACCCTGACTAGAATTACCAGTGTGCTTGCCCCAGGCCATTATGTTTGTCTGCCTGTGCTCGTTATAGGTCTGTGTCCAGAGCCAGTGGACACCAGGATACAGGGACCAGGGGCTGTCAGACCACAGGCTCCTTAGGTGGGACCTTCTCTTTCTGGTGGGCATACAACAGAGGGGACTAGCCAGGCTCCCTAGTGAAGTAGGGTGGAGATGGACCAGGAACTACAGGCTGTTAGTGCCATGCTCCCCATGGCATGGGGCAGGCACAGGGACCCCGAGGACTGACCCTGGTGCCCTCCAGGGCCATGCTGCTCACCTCCCCATCCACAGGGGTGATCCTGTACATCCTGTTGGTGGGCTACCCCCCTTTCTGGGATGAGGACCAGCACAAGCTATACCAGCAGATCAAGGCTGGGGCCTATGACGTGAGTGCGCCCCTGTGGAGGGTGGGGACTGCCACGCCCCGGGTCTCCCTTCCTCTTCGTGGCCTCTGCTTGGGGAGGGGCTTCAGCCTTGCCTGTGCACACTTCCTCCTGTAGTTCCCATCCCCTGAGTGGGACACCGTCACTCCTGAAGCCAAAAACCTCATCAACCAGATGTTGACCATCAACCCTGCCAAACGCATCACGGCCCACGAGGCCCTGAAGCATCCATGGGTCTGCGTAAGTCATCCTTGGCCACCTCTAGGGTCCAGTTCCTCGTGGGCACATCCAGGGCCCCCAAGATGGCTCTGGGGTTTTGTTCCTCATGTCTGGCCACCCTCCTGGATGTGACGGGCAAGACTTGAACTTGGAAATAACTGGGGACAGCAGATGGGAACAAGTGGTCTCTTGTTATGGCGGCTAGCAGTACTCAGTGTGTGGGGCCCTAAAATGCCCCTACCCTGACCCTGTCTCCTAAGCCTGCTCCTCACTGCCCCACGACTTCCCTTCTCCCGACAGCAACGCTCCACGGTGGCCTCTATGATGCACAGACAGGAGACTGTGGAATGCCTGAAGAAGTTCAATGCCAGGAGGAAGCTCAAGGTAGGCATGGCTCGCCCCCCATCCCCGTGTCCACATGTCCCAGTGGGCCCCATCCTGAAGTGGAAGTGTCAGTGGGACCTGGAGACGAGGAGGAAGGAGAACCCCCCAAATCTACGCCTGCTTCCAAGTCCAGATCAGAGGGTTCCAGACGCCGTGGCAGCTCAGAGGGTCAGAGCTTTGCCTGGGTGCAGGGCTGGCCACTTCGGCATCCTGAGGACAGTACTGGCCCAGAGCGGGTGTTGTGAAAGGCAGAGCTGAAGAAGCATCTTTCTGGGCCCGGCAGGCTGGGGAGGCAGGTAGCAGGGCTGACCCTGATAGTTGCTGTCCAGGGCTGATAGTCAAGGCCAGGGCTAGGACTATGAACCATTGTTGGAGTTTCCCCAAGGTCCCAAGGATACCTCTGACTGCCCTGGACCAGAGGAGCGGTCATGGTGGCTGGCATTCCTGGCCGTGCCTACTTCTCAGGAGTCTGACACTGTGATTTGTGGATAGTGTGAGCTTTAACTGTGGACATGGTGACTCACCTCAGTGCAGCTGCTAGGTTCTAGAACTCTTCTCTAGAAGTCTGAGCTGTGTGTGTGTGTGTGTGTGTGTGTGTGTGTGTGTGTACACGCGCACGCGCGTGCGCACAACGTCTTCTGACTAGAAGCCAACAGGATACAGACACTAACAGGGTGACCCTGACTCTGGCTCTGTTTCTCCTTAGGGAGCCATCCTCACCACTATGTTGGCCACACGGAATTTCTCAGGTGAGACATTCTTCTCCAGCAAGGGCGTGTTTCCTCATTCTACAGAAAGCCCCCTCCTTCCTCACCAGCCTCCAGTCCCATTCCTCCAGGCTGGTGGGACCCAACTTCTGTCCTCACCTCTAAGACCCACTTCCAAGAAGGCCTTTTGGCTTCCCTCACTGGGCAGCTCCTGAGGTCTGCTGTGCCCCAGTCCCGCCTCCTCCGTGTTGTTGGGTCTGTGTCCCTCACCTGACACCCCAGTGTCTGTGCTGCCAACACCTGGCCTGCCACCCGCATCCGTCCAAGCGTCTGTTGGGCAGCCCTGTGGCCTCCGTGTCCTTGGTACTCGAAGCATCATGTTGTGTGTGGGAGATAGCTGAAGGCGGGTGGGTGAGACTGAGGTCTGTGCACAGGGAAACTTCGTCAGTTTTGGGTAGGCCGCCTGCCCTGGTTGTTCAGGGTGGGTGATGGGAAAATGAAGTCTCAAGGGTCTGTTAGAGACCCATGGGGCCCACCTGGGGAGACAGTGTTGGCCCTAGTGCCCGGACAGCTGTGTCTATGGCTTCTCCGTCGTCTGACACTGAGTGTGCGAACGTTCATGATCGTCTCTCCTTGTCCGTCTGCATCTGGTACCCTGCCTCCTGTTACTTTGCTGTGATGCTGTCCTGCCAGGAATGGGCACATGGTCACACCAACACTAATGGGACTGTCCTGTCTGCTGTGTGCCCCGCATGCCCCACCGGGCACAAGAAGCCCCACTGGGGTGTTCTAAGGAGAAAGGAGGCAAACGCTTTTCAGTGTCTATCGGCCCAATCTTGTTTCACTCTCCTGAGAAAGGGATTCTGGAGCCATCCCCCACCTAAACTTTAACTCTAATCTTCTTCTGCTTCCTTTGTCTCTTCTCTTTCCTCACCTCGCCCCACCCCATCTGTGTCCGCCCCCTTCCCCCCTCGTCTCTAACCTGGTGCTAACAGTGGGCAGACAGACCACCGCTCCGGCCACAATGTCCACCGCGGCCTCCGGCACCACCATGGGGCTGGTGGAACAAGGTAGATGTGTCTTGCCCAGTGTCCACCTGCTCCTGCCCATCCCTCCTGTTGGCATGCAGCCCCCCTGCTGCACGCAGCCACTGGCCAGGCCCCCAGAGCCTCCCCAGAGGCTGGCAGCCCCCGGGAGCTCTGCTCCTGCCACAGTCACATCCCAGCAGAGGCCCCACCCTGGGCAATATGGCTGCCCCGCACTCCTGTCTGTCTAGAAAAAGAGAGACCACATCAAACCCGATATGCATTTGGCTGAGACCCTCAGGTCCTGGCCTCTGGGATTCTGGAGACCCAATTCAGAATGACACTTACCTGCTGCTGGAGGGTCTCAGTCCTGGAAGGGAAGCCCTTAGATCAGGGTTAGGGAGGTAAGGAAGTCCCAAGGAGCTGTAGGGCCCAAGGTCCGTTCTTCCCCTAGGACAGATGGGTCTGGTGGTCTGTGCTCCTGAGTTCCTCAGAATGTGGGGATAGTGTCAGTCAGTGTCTGAGGCCGGAGGTTCCCTTCTGAAGTCCCTTCTTACTCCGTTCCAAACTCCCTGAGGGAGGAGGTGGTCTCTGACAACCTGTTCCTTTGGATGGTGTGGGACCCTCTGAGAACTAAGTAACCCGGAGGCCTCATCCTGGGCTCCACAGCCAGCATCCACACCGAGTGCTAGTACATTAGAGCAGCACACATGCTCAGCCAAGCCTCAGTTTCCCCAACAGCCTTAAGTGTGAGCAGAGGGCAGGGCGCAGGTTTCACAGCCTGAGGTCCAGCCCTTTCCACGGGCCTACCTGGATCCACCTCACAATTCCCAGGTCCTTCTCCTGGGGGATGTTCAGGTCATCCTAGGAAGGGTCCGTTCTGCCCACCCGGGCCCAGCATGGATGGTCCCGAGTCCATTTTATATAGCCTTTCTGAAGCCCAGGAGGGGCTGGGTTCATTATATATATATAATATAAAAGATGACGCTAGTGGCTGCCAGGGAGGCCTGTTGCCAGGGGACAGTGGGGTGAGACAGGTCACCTCTGAGCCATGCTCTGCCCAAGATTCCTGCTGCAATGCTCGCCTGCCTGCAAGTGAGCAAGGGCAACCTTGCATGAGGCTGCCTGCATGTTGTGGCTCTGCCCCAGGTGCTGAGGGTCACTCTGTCCTGGAGGGAGGTCAGTGCATGCAAACAGCTCAGCATGGCTGTCCATAGTGACTAGACAGTGGGCGAGGCAGAGATGAAGGTCCCATCGACTCCGTTAGGTTGGCCCCACCACACACTAAGGACACATACTGGGGGTCTCCCTCCTCCATGTCTCTGTCAGACGTTCCAGTGTGACAGAGACCCTTGGACAGCAGGAAGACCCTCGCTGTAGAGCGTGTTGCAGTCTGGCTTCCCCCACCCCTCCCCCACTGAGCGGATCTGTGCCTTGTGACTGTCAGGCTGGCTGTGGGTTGGGTGTAATTGCTTGACCTGAGGCCTGGGATTGAAAACTGCCCTCCTGAGTTGGAAGCGCAGGCCAGAAGAGCCGCAGCTCTAGGCGTCTGGAATCCCGTGGTAGTTCAGTGCACTTTTGGCTCCGGCTACACCTACTCAAACTGCGGCGTGAGTGGTGGGCACAGGTTCCTGGCTATGGTGCCATACTTAGTCCAGGACAGATGTGAGTGCTGGAGAGAGACAGCCTCCAGGAAGCAGAGGGCTAATGCAGTCAGTGAGGCTGGGCCGTGCACCCATGCCATGTCTGGAGCACACATGGGCTCCTGGTGCAAGGAGTGGGAGGATGCCAAGATGACCCTGATGTCCGTCTGGGCTCTCTAGGCCTGAGCCAGCAACATGGCTCCCCCCGCCGCCCTTCCCCCCTCCCCTGTCCAAGTTTGCGGCATAGCACATCCACCTGCAAACCAGCGCTGTTTGCTTTCCACAAATAACTTAATCTCCAGTAGCACAGCTCGAAACTGCCGTTTTGATAGACTTGAAGACTTCAATGAAACCCTTCTAAGATCAAGGGCAGTGCTGGGGTCTCTCAGGGCCTAACCTTCCCAGGGGGCCTTTTCCTGCGAGAACCCTCCAAGGATGTCTGGGGGTACCACGGGCACCACAACTGACTCTCAGGCCAATATTGACCTTCGCGGGTTCCAGCTCAGAATCCACTAGGGGAAATGCTGGGTTGGCTGTATGGTCTGCCGGGGAGGGTGGGGAGGGGCAAGCCTGCTTTCTGCAAACTGCCTGTTGAAATGGCCACGTCTTAGGAATGCTCCTCTTCCCTTGCTGCCCAGAAAGCCATCACAGGCATCCTCAAGACAGGACTGTCTTACTCCCTCGGGCTCCAGGGACGAGTCTGTCTCCCGCAGAGAGCAGATGTCTGCCTGCAGCCTTAACCGTAGAGCCAGTGCTCAGGCCAAGAAAGCCCGTGTTGCCAGGGCAGTGCCAGTGTCTCTAGGGATGAGCCGTGTGGGAGGATGGAGAGGAGAAGGAACAGCACCCACAGGCAAACCACAGCAGCCTGTCTCTAACTCTAGGGAGAGTCTAGCCACAGCGCCAGAGGTGCTTCAGGGTCTACTCTGCAGCGATATGGGAAGTCAGCCTTTCTACCCCTAGGAAGCCCCCTTGGGGATACCTTGGGATTGAGGACCTAGGGTACGCCAGGCCTGAAGACGACATGTGAAGGGCAGGGTCATTTCAGAGAGACTGCTCATAACAGAACTTTTTGAGACAAGTACCTAAAACTCTGAGAGGGGAAGGCTGCCAGAAACCAGTGTGCACCACAGCAGCGGCTTCACGTAGCCTTGTCCCCGTGTCCCAGCATACAGAGCCTGGGCCCAATCAAGTTGTGTCACCTGACTGGTGAGGACAGTGGTCAGCAGGCAGCAGTGGTGCCTGGTTCTGGTCTCTGGGAAGAATGACCCGCAGAGCCACAGGCGAATACAACACCCTTCAGAGTTCTCACTCAAGAAGGTGTGGCCAAGAAGTCTGTGTTTCTGATCACATCAGTGACATTGCTGCTGTGACGGAAGACTGGGTTTGATTGGATTACGGCCCTAGGTCTAAATGTGCTGCCCCCATGTCCCCACCAAGTCTGCTGTAGGCAGCACAGGTTCCCCTAGAGGGCAGGAGAGCCCAAGCTTGGGTATAGTCAGCCAGTGTCTAGCTGTATGGGATGTTATGGGTGAGGGCCCTGGGGACAAGGGGCTGTGTACCTCCCCCCATGTTGTGCCAGCCATGGCTGCCTCTAACCCGCTGTGTTGGCCACATGGCTACTTGACTCTTCTTGGGGAACACTGGGCCAGGACAGGCTGGCTTTGCTGCCCCGTGTGGGGCCTTTCTGAACCAACACAAATCTTGTTTTCTCTCTCTTCCTCTCTTCCTTCCTCACTCCCTCCTCTCCTCATCTTTCCTTTTCTGTAAGGTAAGCTGACTACCTCTCTCGGTCTCCGTTTTGTGTTGTTTTAAATCTGTAATTAAGACGCTAAACTCTGCTCTAGAGGACCTAAGTGCTGGGAGCGAAGGGTGGGGGCAAAAGGAGGGCATCCTGATCTCTGAGGGCAGTGTTGGAACCAAGGGTTCCACCTGCTTAGCCCAGGTGTCTGCCAGGGCTTGTGGGCAAAGGGGCTGGTGCTGGCTACAATCACAGCCACCAAGTGGTCTCATGGCAAGGGTTGCTGGGGCCATTCAAGGGGAGGGACAGGGAGGCCAAGTGGTGCAGCCCTGGTGCAGAAGTTTGTTGTCCATCAGAAGATGGAGGGGCAGGGGCTGGGTCTAGCCCTTTGGTGTGACAGCCAGCTTCGGCCCACCACCATTCTAGTGGGAACGCAGGGCTGCAGAGGGCAGGGCCAGGTTGAGCATGACTTTCCCTTTGCATCCTAATACCTACCAATCCTGACCTGGCGCCGTCCTGGGAAGTGGGGGCTGGAGGCCGGGGCAGATCATCCTGCCAGCCTTTCAGGAATCCTAGGCAAGGGCAAGGAGGCTCTTGAGTGCCTTGCAAGGAGCTCGAGAATCATTGAAGATGCTGGGGGCGGGGTGGTCGTGGATGAGGCTCCTGAGGCAGCCTGGCTCAGCACCCGTGGAGGTCTGCTGCTGCTAAGGCCAGGTCAGATGTCAAGGCTACATCTGCTTCCGGCCTCAGGCTACTGGACCTCAGGTCCTGAGCTTCACTCCTGAAGAAAGGGGAAGGGCAGGGGGAGGGGAGGGGAGGGGCCTACAGTGACCCTAAGCCCTAAGAACTCACTATCCCTCCTTCCTTCCCAATGCAGCAGCCAAGAGTTTACTCAACAAGAAAGCAGATGGAGTCAAGGTGAGGCACCAAGTAAGCCCTTTGTGGGATAGAGGGGAGGAAGCCAGAGCCTGCGGCTCCGCCACTAACCGCAAGGTTCTAGTTTGAGAGGCTTGACCATGCCTTCCTCCACTGATGCTGGCAGGGAGGGTCCCCTTTCTTCCCTGGTGACTCTTCTCCTTCTCTCCGCAGCCACAGACAAACAGCACCAAAAACAGCTCGGCCATCACCAGCCCCAAAGGATCCCTCCCTCCTGCCGCCCTGGTACTGAGCCCCTGCCCCTGCCTCAGCTCACTGACAGAGAGGCCTTGCCAGGCAGGGTCTGGTGAGACTGCCTGTCTCTGACCAAATCAGTCCCACGTGGGGACGGAACAGAACGGCATAAATAGGGGTTTGAATCCCAAGAGGAGAAACCACAGTCAGGGTGCCCCAAATCAGGCAGGTGCAAGACTGCTTGGTGAGCCCTTCCCTGGGACCTTGAGGTAGCCGGTGCTGGGGAGAGATCTGGCTTCCCAGCTGGAGTGACTTCTGGACCACTCTGCCTCAAGAAGCTCTAGCAAAAGGCCATCAGGATGCCACGGTGCGGGGGGGGGGGAGCTAGGGGCCCCGCTGTCTCTTCAAGGCCCTCAGTTTGTACAGCTGGCTAGTCTAGCTTAGAGGGGCTCAGACTAGAATCTTCAGGGATCATACCCTGGAGTCTAATGAAGAGAAGCAGGGCCATGTTGGTGTGGTGGGGAGGCGTGTGGTTGAAGAAACAGTGGGCTCGTCCATCTGGGACTATTTCATCAAAGCCATATACCGTATTGGTCTGTGGATTACAGGGGAGGAAGCTCGGGAACCCCTGCCGAGGAGGGTTAAAGGGTGTTCATGATACCTACCCCTACTATATTCTTTCTGGTTCCTTATGAAGGCAGTGGGCCAACTCTGTCCTCTGTCCCTCTTGCCCTGGGGGTCACTTGCTCAGGTGAACATCACGTTCCTGGGGATGTGGAGCTGTGGCTCGTGGGTCTAGAGTGTGAAGTAGTACTCTGAGTATCCCCCACAGGCCCCAGGCAGGTGTTCCCTATAGGATCTGGCTTTGTCAAACTAGGGGAGCATAGAAGAGATCCATCCTGGCTGTAGTTTGGGAATCGCTCAGAGCAGTGGGGCTACGGCAGGAGAGTGCCAGGCGTCTGCTCACCTGGTGCCTGGGGTGGCTCACACCGGCCTCACAGCCAGCCCCACCTTGGACCCCGTCCATCCCATGTGCCACCCCAACCCCCACAACATCTCTGATCCTGCGCCCACTCCCATGCCGAGGCAGGAGGTGGGGAGAACTTCCAGAGCCCACACACACCTACAGTTTCTCTCAGGCCCCATGAGCTCCATCTTCCCTGGCCTCTGGCCTGGCAGATCTGCTGCTCCCGTCATGTTGAGCCTACTCTACCCCCACCCAGGGCCATTGCTGACCACCCGCTGCCTCCATCCCTACTGGGCCATCTTGCTGACCGCCTGCCTCCTCCATCCCTGTCCCTCTCCTCTCCACTCTCTCTGGGCAGACCCTGGTCGCTGCCCACTCCTCTGGCTCCCCGGCTCCCCATCCTCTGCTTCCTTCTTTCTCACTCTCCCTCTCTTTCTTTCCTTCCTCTGTCTGCCGCCCTCTATAGGAGCCTCAAACCACCGTTATCCATAACCCAGTGGACGGGATTAAGGTACTGCCGCCACCTCTCTCCTCGCCCTTTCCTTGGGCAGGAGGTATGGGCCCAGGAGGAGGGTGTGGACGGTGACCTGGGAGAAGCATTTGTGCCTATGGTAGAGAGCAGATGTGTAGCCACCTGATAGATAGCCACAAGCCTGCCTGCCTGGGGCCATGGCAGGGACACAATGACTCCACTGAAGGGAGCTCACACAGCTTCAGGAGTGCCGCCTGCTGCAGGCCTTGGGTTCGGCCTTGACTGTTCTCCACCTTCACCCCCCCAGTGTGGCCCCAGTGCTTCCTGCTCCTCTCTGCTCTGCCATCTGCTCCCATCCCATTGGCATCATCACATGGGGCCGGGAGGGGCTGGCTCTCTGTGAGGTGAGGGAGACGGGCAGGTCTTAGAACCTGCCCTGGGCTGTCAGGTCAGATGTGGGCTTGGGCTCCCCAACTGTCCGACAAGGTGGCACGGGGGGTACCCCCACTTCCTTAGGCCAGAATCTGCACCTGGCCCTTCTCCATGCCAGGGACCCAGGGCAGCTATATGTTCAAAATGCCAAATGTCTGTTTTCCTCCCACCTGAGTGATGGGTACCCTGTGGGCCCTCATGTCAGGTGAGGTCATACTCCTCTCTGAGTCAACCTTTGGGCCAGGGTAAGGCCTGACCTTATATTTGAAGGCCCCCAGTTTTTCCTCAGAGTCATGTTCAGTCAGTATCTGTACCAAAGAGCTATGAGAGGTTTCTTTGGTTTTCTGGGGACATGTTGGTAGAGAGGTGCTCAGAAGTCAGCCACCACTTGAAGGTGGTAGAAGCTGGGCCCTGCTAAAGTTCCAGGCCTAGGCTGGACAGTGGCATTAGGGACCTCATCTCTTCTCGGGGAAGGTGACCCTCTCTTAAAAGCTGCTAACCACGACTGCCCACTGCCTAGGTTTCGAGACCTTCCATCACTAAAAGTCAGCCAAGCCCCATGTTTTTCCATCTTGGGGTTTCAAAAGGCCTGCTCTCAGAGTTGGCAGCGTGTCTCATTGTCTCTTGGGGAAGATGAGGTTAAAGCCCTTGCTGTTGGAAATACGGTGGCCTGCAGGGGACAGAATGAGCCCCAGGGTGGAAGCCCTCCTGAGAACATACACGGTTAGACCTTTCTCCCCAGTCACTGGGAGGGTCTGTCTCCTGAAATCCTCAGGAGTAGCCAGGCGTAGGTCCAAGCTGGAACCCAGGCTCACTCCACAAATGGAAGTGTCCTGCCTGTCCTTGACCACATCTTGACCCCTGTCTCTCTGTTTCCTCAGGAGTCTTCCGACAGCACCAACACAACCATAGAGGATGAAGATGCCAAAGGTACCTGCAACAGAGACCTCGCCTGGTCATCTGGGCCATGGTGTTGGCGGTGGGTGGGTCTTGCAGCATCTCTGGTTCTGCTGCGCAGGCCATGGTACAGAGGTTCAGGGCCCTGCTCTCAGGTCTGCCTGGTGTGAGTCAAAGCATGTTTGGGACATCGTGGCGGGGGTATCTCAGGCATAGTGCATATGTGAGGAAGTCACAGTTCTCCGTCCTGGGAGCCAGGAACTCACTTCTCACTGGGTATGAAGTATGTGTGTGATATTTGATCAAGATACAACTTAAATTTCTTAAGCTTCTGTCCATCTGGCTAGTGAGTGGCCAGGTAGCGGAAGTGTTGGTTCCTTTGATGACTCAGGAGCTCCCTCTTGAGGTGGGCTTCTGTGCCACACCCTGAGCCCTGCCAGTGATAATGTCCCTAGGTCGCCTGCTATCAGTGAGTGTCCTCCTAGCCTCTCCCACTTTCTTTGTCCCCCACTCCCCGAGAACAAGGTCTGACAACTTCAGGCTGTCCATGGAGCCCTAACCTGCCCTTAGGATGGTCATATAGAATTGACGCCTTTTCTCCTCCCCAGCTAGGATGCTGTCCCTGAGTGTCCTCCACACTCCTTCCTCAGTCATGTACAAGAGCTGAGATGGAGTCAGGACGGTTCCCAAGGTCACCATGCTCAGTGAGGACCACTCTAAAACCCTAGCCTAATCTTTGCAGGGCCTGCACGGGCCCACAAAATGAGCCCTTCTAACACCTATGGGTGCCCAAGAGTGACCTCCTCGCCTCTGTCCTCTAGGTCCCCGGCAGTGGCCTGGGGTTCTACACTGTAACCTTTTCAGCCGTCCTGTGCCTCTTGGCTCTTTCTGCCACTTTCTGTCTTGAGTGTCTACCATCCACTGCTTGCTTCTGTTCTGCCTCAGCCCCCAGGGTCCCTGATGTCCTGAGCTTGGTGAGGAGGGGCTCAGGAGCCCCAGAAGCCGAGGGCCCCCTGCCCTGCCCATCTCCAGTTCCCATTAGCCCCCTTCCAGCCCCGTGTAAGTAGCCTGGGCCCCGCTGCTGTGGGGATGACTTTGAAGGGCCTGGCAACTCTCTGAAGGGACATTTAAGAGCCAAGGACCGGACAGGCCAATTCCTGGCTCTAACTGTACCCTCACACAGCCCCCAGACTGGGGCTCTCCATGGTTGCCTCTGTCCAGCCAAAGGCCTTTATTGGTCTCTGGGAGTGCTGTCATTGCCTCCTTTCCTGCTCACGGCCACTAGGTGGTCCCTGGAGGGTTTGGCCTTGACTTCTAGGCCTCCAGAGCCCACCCAAACCTCCCTCTACACCACCTCTGGAGGCTTCTTGCTTCTGAGACTGGCACCAAACAGGAAGCCAGGTCCCAAATCCCCCTGTGGCGAGAATAGGACCCCTTCTTGCCTGCGTCTTGCCAATTCTGTCGTCTCCTCGGTCTCCTCATATGTCTGTCTGCCTTCTGTTCACGTGTGTCTGTTCCACCCCAGCCCCCAGGATCTCTGACATCCTGAACTCGGTGAGAAGGGGCTGTGGAACCCCAGAAGCCGAGGGACCCCTATCAGTGGGGCCCCCACCCTGCTTGTCTCCGGGTCTCCTAGGCCCCCTGCCCACCCCGTGTAAGTAGTAGCCCCAGGCTTGCTGCCTCTGCTACCAAGGGCTCGCTGAGAATGGCCAGTGCTCAGCTTCCTGCACCTGCCATGCACGGCCAAGCTCCCCCAGACCAGGATGCCCGATGGGTGTCCAGTCTGGCTGGCCTTATCCAAGGCACACGCATTAACACAGCTGGGCAGCTACCTGGCTTCCCCTGGGCCCACCTCTGGCTCATCTCCTTCCTCTACTCCCTGCTCGCTGCTCACCTCACTTCATCTCAGACCCACCCCTGCGTAACTATTAGCCTTGGGGGAGGGGCATGTCCCCAGATCATCTCTGCCAAGAGTTTTCTAGCCACTCACGCCCTACCCTGCCCTGGTCACAGTGCCCCAGAGCCTGTCTCCAGAGCAGCCCCTGATTCCTGATGTGCCCTGTCCCTGAACATCATTCACTAACCAAGGCAGGGGAGGTCAAGGAAGGTGTCAGAATGGGAACCTTAACCAGGGGCTTTAGGTAAGGAGACATTCAGAATAGAAGCCTGGCTTTCCACTGGCCTAGGCTGCCCACATGGGCCAAAACAGGTCCTTCTTCTGAACACCCCTCCTCCCCTCCACCCACTCCTCTACCCACCTGCCAAGACTTCTCCAAGGTCCATCACTTGCAGCCACAGCCTCTGGCTTCTTGGGGGCCAGGTTGCCTCTCCTTGGAGGGTATCCTCTGTCCATGGCAGCTTCCGGCTTAGCACACTAAAATGGACAAAAGCATCTGCATTCCCGATGTCCCCTTCCAAAATGTTTATGTCCCCCATCCCCTTTGTCCCTGTGACTCCTGGTGCCCTCACGGCTCCCTCCGGCCTCCCTTACTACCTGGCTTCGCTCTCTGTCTCCTTCCTGCATGATCCCTCCGCCTGTATTCACGTGTGTCTGTTCTGCCCCAGCCCCCAGGATCTCTGACATCCTGAACTCAGTGAGGCGGGGCTCAGGGACCCCAGAAGCTGAGGGCCTCCCACCAGTGGGCCCCCCACCCTGCCCATCTCCGACTCTCCCTGGCCCCTTGCCCACCCCATGTAAGTAGCACTTCAAGTGGCCCTGGCAGCTCCATGGAGGAGCATGGCCGACCAGCCTGACTCTGGGAATAACCCATCTTGTGGATATATGGGCGGGTACAGCCTCTGTCAGGTCACGAGATTCATGTCAAAGTACGTGACGAAAGCGGTGGGTTTCAGTACATGCAGATAGCGGACATAAAGTGTGTGCGTTTATGTGTGAGCTCATGCATGTGGGAAGGCTCCCCACATGCTTTACTGACCTGGACTCATTGCTACCATGCAGCCACCGCATTTGGATAGGAGCCGGTGGTGAGCAGGTGCCCACCAGTGCATGAGGAACCCTTGAGAAAGGGCTGCCCGGGTGAGAGTAGACCTTCCCGGACAAGATGGCAGGGAAAAGAAACTCCTGGGTATTCTGGCACATGCCAGGCTGGACGTTGGGCGGGGAGGTTGGGGGTACAGCCAGGGCTAAGGACGAGTTAGGGAGAGAAGCGCAGGCAGGTGGCTCTTCTGCTTGTCTGTCGACTGCCCGCCAGTATCACTTTCAGGGATGGATGACATCCAAGGCTGCAGCCACCGCTGCCCCCGCCTCCAGGGAGACACGGGGCTGGGGGTGGTGCTGAGATGTTCTCAGAGAACAGGCTGCTGGGCCAGGGCCTCGGCATGGCAGGGCAGTGGCTGGGTGAGTAGCTATGAGCGGTGGGCTTGGGGTATCCTACCCCATCACCTCTACCTGTTATGCCGGAGTCGGGGGATGTTGCAGGTTGCCAGAGCAGAGAGGCGGTCACAGCAAGGGTGGGCATCCACAGTTTGCAAGTTTAGCGGGGTAAGGGGCAGCCTCTGGAGGGTGTGAACCCCCAGGGCGCTCCATGGTCAGCTGAGGGGATCAGAGGTGAGTTGTGAGGTGCTCAGCCAGGTTATTTCTAGGGGTGGGTTGAGGGGCGGGGCCGGGGGTGGATAGCAGTCAGTACTCACAAAGCATGGAGGGATGCTCTCCACTGGTGGGTGCAAGACAGCTTCTGGCCAACACTGGGGTGCTCTCTCGTCTGATCTCCAGGGCCACACTGTTTTTGTTGGGGGTCAGCCTGAAACATGATCTGCATTGGGGGTCTCTGCAATGGCCAGGTGGTCACTCTAAGGCCAGGTCTGTGGGGAGCACCAAGTGACCTTGTCACTTTAGAGGCTATGACACTGATCTGCCCTTGTAAGGTCTATGCTGAGCTTGGCTAGGGAAAGGGGTCCTTCAGGAGGGGGCTGTGAGAATGACTGGATGGTGGCATCTGGTCATTCTGCAAGGGGCTGGGCAGAAGAAAAAGACATTTAGTAAAATACAGGGACACGTGGGTGACGTCAGATGGTACTGGGCCCCTCTCTCCTGGGAGGGTTACAACCCACCAACTAGGTTACAGGTTCCCATCAACTCTCTTGAGGCTCAAGCCCCTCCCCACCCCATGCTCTCGGTACCCCAGGCCTCACTTCCTAATCAGGGATTACACAGGATTCAGGCTGATCCTGGCTGATCCCTAGTCAGCTGCTCTGCCTGTCAGCTGTGCAGGGTTTGGGGACGGGGGAGGGACACAAACTTTCACTGGTCCCACCTGGATGCTCTCAGCCTAAGGGCTGCTTGACTTCGCATAAGAGTGCTGTGGACAGAGTGAGTCTACCGCTCTGGGCCCCTGTCAAACCCTGCCTGCCTCTTTGGCTTCTTCCCTAGACTTGCAGGGTATGGCCTCAGGCTTCTTCACCGGGGTTATCTCTGTCTGAGAGCTTCTTGGTCCCTCCCTCACGTTTGATTTCCACTGGTGTCTGGGCAGCAGTTATTCTGCAGGTCAGGAGGTGTCCCGGTCTTGTTCATAGGCAGCCTCCGCTTCCCTGAGGGTCAGATGGGCCAGTGGCTCTCACAAGAACGCTGGTCCCAAACTCCAGCACATTCTGACTGGTGCTGTGGTCATGGATCTCCTATTAGTTGATTTAACATTGGAGCCCACAGCCTAACTTCGTTAAGTGGAAAATGAGTCCACGTACACACTGGAAGGCAGAATCTTAAATGCTGGAAACCAAGCAGTAAGGGCATTTAGTTCTAGCCACTCCTGCCGTGTGCTGAGGGACTCCTCTAGAGGAATGGGCCAGTTGGGCCTAGTAGAAAGGGATTAATGAGCCTCAGGGGATACTTGGGACATGTGAAGTGCAGAGTGGACGCCTGGTTTGGGGAAAGAGCTGGCCACAAGCCTGAGACATCTCTAGAAGGAGCAAATGGGAGGGGGTGAGGTGCCGAGAGTGGTGAGCCCGGGGAAGAGTGCTGCCCTGGGATCCAAAAGGTAAGAACAAGAAGGGCTGTTGCGTGCTCAGGACGGAGCCTTGGTTCTCTCCTAGAGTGGGGTACATAGGCGTGTGGTTAGGAATGAGAGCAGGAAGAAACAGGGCTCTGGAAGTCATAGTCCACTGCCTAGACTCAGCATTCCAGGTATCCCTGTTAGAGGTGCTGGGTGACGGTGATGATCTTACCCTGAGTTCAGATGGCCATATGATTTAGACTCAAGAATAGGGCAGAAACCATCCCAGCTCATCTGTTCACAAGGAGAGGCTGGTGTCCTGTGCTGGCACATACATGGCATTCCCATGAAGCAGGCTACCTCTTTGTTGTGGATTCAGTCCTCCTTCAGGGCACCTGATGGGGTGGGCACCCAGACACCCACTGGTACTGAAAGCCCTGCCGCAGGATTATTCTCGGTGCTTGCATGTTTTACGTTCTTCTTGGTTAAAATAAAAGGTTCATCACCTCAAAGCCAAGAGCTAGTGCTCCGGAGAAGCAACGGGGCTGAGGGCTGCAGACACTAAGGGTGGGTTTTGCTAGCACAGCACATGGCCCAGGGCTACAAGCAGGTGAGAGGTTGGGAAACCGAAGAGAGCGGTGAGAGACAACTTGTTTGTTCTGAAGAGTCCCCGGCCATCCTGTCCTTCAGCCTTTGCCCAGAAGCCACCCCCACTCCCACCCCTAATCATAGCCAAGGAACCCTGAAGCCTGTGACCATGCCTCCTGAGGGTGGCTCTTCTCCACCCAAGAACTGCTGGGTGGAAGGAGTTATTAAGTGGGCACGGCACTGTTAGAAGATGAGGCAGAACAAGCCAGGGGAGAGACAGAATGGGAGTCCTGCCGTTACAGCTAGCAGATGCTGGGAGGTGACAATGGCGTGGATTGTGGGCAGGCTTTTTCCTCCTTTCTGCATTTTTGAAGACATTTTCTAATCTGGATAGGTATTTGCCTCTCAAAAAACACTGTATTTGATAAGAAGCCATTGCATGTGGAAATGAGGAAAGTGTGGCACAGGCGCAGGGTGATGGAGATGCTGTGGGTACAGGTGCCAGAGACTGAAAGCCCTTTCTGAAGAGGACAGACCTGAGCCAGGGTGGGAGCAGCCGTTTACCTGGGCTCTGCTAGAGTTGGGGGTGCAGCAGGCTAGCGCCTAGTGGTCATCCCTGTTCTCTCCCTGCAGCCCGGAAGCAGGAAATCATCAAGACCACAGAGCAGCTCATTGAGGCGGTCAACAACGGCGACTTTGAGGCCTATGCGTGAGTCTCCGGGGGGGTTGGGGTGGGGGGTTGTGGAGGGCGAGGATGGAGGATGGGGCCCCTCCTCACTTGGGTTTGCCCCCCAGGAAAATCTGTGACCCAGGCCTGACCTCATTTGAGCCTGAAGCTCTGGGCAACCTAGTCGAAGGGATGGATTTCCACAGATTCTACTTCGAGAACCGTGAGTGAGGAAGTCAGGATGGGCATGATGGGGAGACACCATCAGGGGGATCCCTTAACCCCTCAGTCAAGGGAGAGGGCTGTACCAGCCCCCATGAAGGGGATTCAAGGTGGAGGGGTGGGGGAGGTGTTTGTGTCTGGTGCCGTCAGCGCAGAACACCCGCTTGTCCGCAGTGCTGGCCAAGAACAGCAAGCCGATCCACACCACCATCCTGAACCCGCACGTGCACGTCATTGGTGAGGATGCAGCCTGCATCGCCTACATCCGCCTCACACAGTACATCGATGGCCAGGGCCGGCCCCGTACCAGCCAGTCCGAGGAGACCCGCGTGTGGCACCGCCGCGATGGCAAGTGGCAGAACGTACATTTCCACTGCTCGGGAGCTCCAGTGGCCCCACTGCAGTGAGGTGAGTACCTGGGGTGTGGACAGATAGTGTGTGGGGGACGCTGGCAGGTGAGCTGGTCAAGCCAGAGATGGAGCCAGGGATAGTCAGAACGATTAGCACCCATGGCAGGGGCTGCCTATAAAGGGTGGAGTAGCAACTGCTTCTCCTGGCAGGCCCCGTCCTGAAAAGACATTAACTCAATGGTTCTTGCCAGGACCTCTTCCAAGTAGCAAAGGCTTGGGTCCTCAGGGTGTGGGTGATGTCCTAAGGAAGGTGACCTGCCGCCCCCACCCCGCCCCCCTTTCAGAGCTGCGCCTGGTTTCACCGGACAGAGTTGGTGTTTGGAGCCCAGCCGCCCTCGGGCGCACGGCCTGCCTGTCGCATGTTTGTGTCTGCCTCGTCCCCTCCCCTGGTGCCTGTGTCTGCAGAAAAACAAGACCAGATGTGATTTGTTTTTAAAAATAAGATGATGACAACGACAACCACACGCAAAAAAAAAAAAAAAAAAAAAGGAAAAAAAGAAAAAAGAAAAAAAATTGGCATCGGATGAAATGGGAAAAAAAAACGAAAGAAAGGAAAAAAGCTGTAAAAATCTGGCATTTGTGGGGCCACCCCCACCCAAGCTCCACATGTGTCTGTTGCGCTCCTGGCTTTGGGGACCCTCAGGGCGTGAATGTGCCCGTGCTGACCGTGTTAGTCTGTAGGTACCGCACTCACCCCACCTTGGGCGTCCGCATCCTCCCTCCCATGCATGGGCCCCACATGCTAACCTGGCTGTCCTGGTGTCAGGTGTCTTGGGAAGGGCTGGGGGCTGCCTCCTTTCCCGCTAGTTGTGCCTGAGAGTCGCTGCTGCCCCTGCTTTCCCTACCGTCCCTCAGCCTGTGCAGGGCTGGGTGGGTGCTCTTCTGGCTAACGAGTTTGCCCCATGGAGTGCCTGGCAAGGGTTGGTTGAGAAGGCACCTAGCTATGAAGAGAGGACTGGGCCAGAGGATGGCCTCCTTCCTGTTTGGGGCACTTGTCCCTTCCCTGCCACCAGCAGCAGAGCGACAGTGGCCCGCTCCTGGCCTGGACAGACCCTCCAAGGACTGAGGACCTGAAATACTGGACGGATGCTGGGAGTAGGCCTTACTGTATCTGGGATGTTTGCTCACTGAGCTTGGGGTCTGGGTGCTCGAGTCTTGGTCGAATGACGCAGAGTGTGGTAAAGAAGGGCCAGATGATGGGTTTTGGGCTCTGGGCAATGCAGGGCCACACAGGTTTTTGGTGAAGTAGGAATGCTCTCCTAACCTGGGCCTGGAGCGGAAGTCAGAGCATGAGCCAGCCAGAGGCACATGGAAGGACAAACCTGGTTAGGACTGTCGTGCGAGGCCCTTCCAGGTGGGCCAGAAGCAGCCCAGAGAGAAGGCAGGCTGGAGGTAGGGCCTGGACAGCAGTGGGTGGAGGGAGGGTCCATTAGGACGGTGTGCCACCTTCTGGGCCTAGTGGTGCTCTTAAGTACCGACTGCTTATTGTGGGTGACCCTGGCCCTTGGTGAGAGAGAGAGTCACGAGGAGGCTGTCAACATTGCGGAGTCAGGCTAGGGAGAACGGTGTGAAGCAGGGTTGGGTGGGGGTGGTCGGGAGCTTTGATTGCAGAAGTCCAAGGGCCTCCACCCAGTGCTGCCCACTTTAAATTCACATCATTTTCAACCAGGATTTTCTTTATCTTCTACAAATCAAGCCAGGGGAGGGGCATGAAGTGGGAACGGGACACAGGATCCTAAACTCCAAGGGGACTGTCCACCTACAGACACTCAGTGGATACCACCTTTCATCCACACTGTGCCCAGGACAGCTGTCTCCTACCCATGGACACAGGGTAAACATCTGCCAGGCTCCACTTGAGTGGCCCAAGGCCATGGAGTGGCAGGGCTTGCCACGAACAGTGTGAGGCCCTGTGACCAGCCACCCTGGCATCCTGGGGTCTCCTTCCCTCTCCCCACCTTCCTTGTTATCTCCACAAAGCTGCCTGTCTGGGATAATTTGGGGATTTTTTTTTCTGGGGGACAATTCTTTTGCATGACCCTCTAAAGAGCAGGTCACTCCTGCTCCGCTGGCTAGGTGTTCGTGGGTGGTGGCGTCGGCCGCTGGCCAGTGCTGCAGCGTGTCGCCGCCTGCAGTACTGGCGGCCCCTCCCTCTTCTCTTTTTGCTGAGTTCCATTGTCTTTTCTTTCTGAGCCTTGTAGGTGTACAAAACTTATTATTTTGTTCTGTCTCGGGAAACTGCAAATAAAAAAAAAGGACAACTTGCTTCAAGTACAGCTGAGTGGTTTATGCTGGGACCCTGCCAATTCCCTGCTTGGTATAGACCCTGCCTCCCTAGGCTAGATGTGGTCAGAGTGGAAGGACATGGGGTCCAAAGCCCTGTTCTTGCCCCTCATCCCAGTCACCAGAAGGGTGGCCTGCAGAAAGGGAAGCACCCCAGGTCCAAGATCCAAGTGTCCTTCCTCTTGAGCTCCTCTCATGATCTTCCAGTTTGACATGCTGACTGTCCTAGACATGAAGTCATGTGTTCGGTACCCGCCAACTCTGCCCCCATGTGCTATGGTAGCCATCATGGGTGGTTATCGAGGCTTCGCAGAGGCTTAACCTGGAGTCCAAGTCAGAGATCTTAACCATGAGCAGAGGCATCCAGGAGTCAGAAAAAAAGCCAGCCAAGACCATGGCCGGGTGCCGGGGTCTGTAGGCCAACTTTTCATGGCTACAAAGCAGAGAAAACCCCTCCCCAGGCTCTTCCCTGCATCTCCACCCTGAGCATAGGGCAAATCTTTCTCTGTAATCTGTGCTGGTCCTGTCTTCTAGCTTTGCTCAGAAGTCTGCCAAGGTGAGCCCCTATACCCCCAGTCCACTAGGAGTAGGGAGGCCCAGGGGGTTCAGAACTGGCCACCACTCCCAACTGCCTGCCTCTTCTCTCTTAAGCATCTGTTTCTAAACACTCCACTCTGTAAAGGAGGCTACTGATGTCTACTGTTCTCGGTGGGCTATACCTAGGAGGGGCTTTCAGGTATACGGACAGGCAGGAGTGGGTCTCAGGAGCGAATACAAAGAATCTAGGCCAGTGTCCACAGGTGCAGCAGCAATGGGTCCTCTATCTAGGGTTCCAGACAACCTATCAGCTGTAATCGGAGGAGCGTTTCCAGGCCAGCCTCCCTCAGGAAGGCAACAAGCTGCAGAGCGTGAGCCTCCCCCATGCATTATTCCTGAAGCCTTTCTGTGGATGCTGGACAGCAGGGCAGTGCAGTATCCAGGGTTAACCGTCCCATATGGGACTGAGTACTACAGGCAAAGGGACTTCCTTGAAGAACGTTTCATTCATCGTTTTTACTTTGAGCAGAGCTCCTTAGGCATCTACCACCCAAGAAGGGTCAGGGCACTCTGAACTCCACTGGGTCCACAGATCGGGAAGAGGTAGCACACTGGATCCAGGGCTGCTTGCCCAAGTCAGGCAGGAGTCTCTGACAACCAGGACACCAGGTACAGGCTAAAAGCAAGGCCTAGCTGACCTGCTGAGGCTGCAGATGCCTCAGGCCACAAACTGCTAGCCACTGGGGCCATTCCAAAACTCAAAACCATACTCCAGATTTGAATATTCCCATCCTGACCCTCACAAGTTAGTTGTGTCTCTCGGCTCAGGAGTCCCCTCAAACTCTGGAAAGCTAGGTGGTATAGAGCCAGGCAACAACTCAGAAACTCGGGCAAAGGAAAGCCGCCTTCCCAGGGCTCTATTGCTAAGAGGCAGCTCTTCCAGGCAAATTCTTCCGTGTGCAGAGAACTAGGTTCTGAGATGGCAAGGCTACTCCAGAGCTCCCTCACCTGGTTACAGTAAACAAGGAAATAGGATTCCTACCAGGAAAGCCTAGAAATTTATCTGGGGCAGGATTCTAGTACCTGCGGGAACAAAGTACCCGGTATATCCCCACCCTTCAGTGGCTGGGTTGGATACAGATTTCCCTGAAGCTAAAAGTAAACACAGGACAGTACTGGAATTTCAAAAGACAATTTTATCTAGACAGAAACCTTCAAACAGAACAGAGAAATTAGGCATTATTAAAATACACTTTTGCCAAGTGATTTAACATTAAAATATAATGGGGGGAGGGACAGGAAACACATGGCAATTCTCCATTGAAGGGCGAGTGATACCCGGTAGGACAGCCATGAGGGTGAAAGTTGCCTCTTTCCCATAAACGTCTGCCTCCACCCCCCTTCCCCAGCACCCTCCAGAGCAAGAAAACAGGCACACCCAGGCCATTTACTCCACCTCGAGTGCCAGCAACAGACGGGATCTGTGCTGTCCAGGGCCCTGGGACGGGGAGGTCTGTGGCAGCAGGAAAATGACATGGGCAGGCCACTCCAGGGGGGAGCCTGAGCCCTTTGGCTAGCAGTACCCAGAGCAATAGGCAGATATACTATAAGTAAGGATTTTGAAAGCCATAGTAGACACCCCCTCCCCATACGGACACTCTTGAGGGTAGTTCAACAGGCTCAGGGCAGGGATCATCAGAGTAAGACAACTCTGGCTCAAAACTCATGGAGGCTAGCATCCCAGCGGTTGCTTCTGGGGAGACAGGATCTCACGACATACTCTGTGCACAGCAGAACAGGAAGAGGCAATGTGGGACCCAGCACATCCTGGGCTCACCACACAGACTGTGCTGGCAGTGGGTGCTAGCTCAGACCAACCCATCAACATCTTCTACCCTGCGGCTGTCTCTGATTGGGAAGGGGCTGTAAGCCAGAGCTGGACAGAACACAGTTGGGTGCTGGGACCCTTCGGGCTGCTGGCACCTTGTCCCTGGTACCCACAGAAATGACTTGCTCAAACATGTAAGCCCCAAGCAGTTGCCAAAACAGTCTTGTAGACAGAGACAAATAAAACCAGCTTTGAGATGACAGCACCCACTACTTCGATCTTAATGTCAAAGTCCAACTGCAAGTCACGGTGCGTGTGCCTCCACACTGGACAGCTGAGGGCACCTGTGTCTGCGTCTTCCCTTGAAGATGGACACTCCCAGCTGACCCTCCCAACACCAGAGCAGCCCCAGTCTGAACAGTCTGCTGGCTGATAAAACCACAACTCACACATCTTGCCCTTCTAGCCCATTCTAAGTACCTCCCACAAGTTTGTGGCACTGGACAAAGGTACTTAGGACAGGCCCTGTTCCTGACAGATGCCAATTCTAGCAGACAGTTAAGTCAAACAGAGGGGATCCAGTGACCACTTTGACAGTCCTCACTCATGGTGAGCTTCTCCCAGCCCCCACAGTGCAAGAGACTAGAATTCCGGAGTGTTCAAACTCTGCCCACCCAGCCCTATCACCCAAGACGCCCCACCCCACCCCATTCACTGGAGAGTTAATATCGTTAATGCACAAATGAAATCCTAAGTCGCATCAAGGATCAGGAAAAAGATTCCCTCCCACAGAGCCTTCCAGGGTTAGCTGAGAATAAGCCCTTCAGCACCTATAAGAGCCACTTAGAGTTTATGGTTTCATTTTCCCAACATTACATCTTTGAGGACCTCAAATTCTTTCCCGAAGTCACAGCCACACATGTGAACGTCAATGTTCCCACCCTTAAGTCATCCCTCCATTCGTCTTGAGAACGTCAAAATAAAAACAGCCAGTCTGCCTGGCTCCAGATCTTCAGGGTATCGCTGATCTGCAGGAGTTGCAGTTCTGATGTGACATGACGATCCAGCGCCTGCCTCTGTGGGCCACATCACATGATTGCACAGCATGAGTTTTGTTTCCGGGCCTTGAAAGAAAAAAAAAAAAAGATGAAGGGTGCCAAGGAGGGCTGGAGGGTGAAGCCCTTCAGTCGATGGAACTCCACTGAAGTGAGCAAACAAGAGAAAGCAAAACCAACTACAAGGATGGCCCTCAGGGCTTCGAAAGAAGCTGCCCAAAGTGACACTGCTTCCATTGCTCGTCTGGGCTCCTTACATTTATTTCACACCCCACTAACGCTCTCAATAAGTTCATAAGTTCCTGATGTCAGACCATGTGTAAGCAAGAGGCAATAATAGAAATTGGACTGGCTGAGTATCTCGGTGCTATTGTACCTGTTCTTGCCTACTCATCAAAGGCCACCTCCTAACTCCACTGGGCATCTTCCTCCAATACGCAACTCAGCGTAAACACCACAATGGGCCAAGAGTACAATGTTGGGCTGAGGAGAGAGCTCAGCAGTTAAGAGCACTGGCTGCTCTCCAGAGGGTCAGGATTCAATTCCCATCACCCACATGGCAGCTCACAACCACCTCTACCACCAGGTTCAAGGAATTCTATGTCATCTTCTGGCCTCTAAGGGCACCAGGCATTTATGTGGTGTACATACATACATGTAGGCAAAACATCCATATGCATTAAACAAAACACGATGTTCACAGTTAGGAATTTAAGTAATGCCTGGAGCGAGACTCAGTCACAGAAGAGCCCTGCCACTAGGAGGGAAGTGTGGTAGAGAACTAACAGATGTAGAAAAGTGAGCTGCTGGCATCTTAAGGACTAACGCCTAACTGCTCTGCCAACAGAGGAATCAGAATGGGAAGTGGGTGCTGGCTCTGAACCCAGCCAGATATAACCTCAGTCAAGCAGAATGCCTGAGTGTAAGCTGCCCATCATTGAGGCTTAAGTACTTTAGACTCCCACATCCCAAGGAGTGGTACCCCAATCCAACCTTGGTTACATGAAGAGTGCCAGAAAACAAGCTGCAACGGCTCTATGGGAGGGGTACCCTGGGGGCCAGGCACGCTACTCACAGTTTTATAGAAGGCTTTCGACTGTGTTCCCAGTACTTCTGATTTGGATACCAGGTCATCAAGCTTCTCGCCTCGCTCTAACAAAGACTCCATGGTGTTATGCTAGACAAAAGAGAGAAGTTAAGTGGCTGCTGACGACAGGCCCTGATGGAGGCTGAGTGGCTAGAACTACCTCCGCTGGGCCCCCACAGACACCAACAAGCACTCGGACACAGTCAAGCTCATAGGACAGGGCCTCGGGCCTTCCCAATGTTCTCCCCAGCACAGATTCAGTTAAGAACTGCCCTAGGAAAGCTTGTATTTGTACTTGGGTGCTGTAAGCATGCATGTGCAGAGGAAGACATACAGGAGTACTACATGACTGTACTAGGATGGGTAGTGGCTACCCAAAATTCACATCCACCCAGAACCTCTGAATGTGACCTCATTTGGAAATAAGGTCTTGGCGAGTGTTGTCAGTTTAAGATGTGGTGATGCTGGATTAGAGTGGCCCGAATTCCATAACTAGCATCTTCATAAACACAGAAACGCAGACAGAAGACTGTGTGATGACACAGGAGAAACTAAGGACAGCAAGCACTGCCAGCAGCTATCAGAAGCCAGAGAAAGGCCTAGAGCAGACATTATTCACATGGCCCCAAGAAGGCACCTGACTCAAACTTCCAGTCTCCTGGGAGAGAGTACTTGAGTGGTTCAGAGTCATAGAGTTTATGGCTACTTCTGAGCAGCCATGGAAACTTACATGGTGGAAAAGCTGTGCTATCTGACTCAGGAGCCAGAGAGCTTGAGATGAGACAAGTCCTAGCATGTGCTTCAAGTAAAAACATAACACATTTCAAAGACTAAGGCTCAGTATGCAAAACATTCATTAGTAGGATTGGCGAGATGGCTCACTGCCTAAGAGCAATGGCTGCTCTACCAAAGACCTGGGTTCAATTCCCAGCACCCACATAGCAGCTCACCACCACCCCTAACTCCAGTTTCAGGAGATCCTAAGCCTTCTTCTGGCATCCGAGAGCACTGTGCAAATATAGTGCCCAGGCGTAACATGCAGGCATATGTAAGGTACAACACCCTTACATATAAAATAAAAAATAAAAAAGTTATAAAAAGTGAGTGTTTTATTCTACAGATATGGAGGAAATATTTTGGATATTTGGATTAAATAACATTAAATTTCAACTACTTTCATTTTGTCATTTAAAAATATGGCTCCTTCAAAATTCAAAATTACACAAACAAATCATATACTCAATAGCCTGCTGGTAGCACCACGACAGGCAACTCTGGACCCTAAGATAGGCTTTTCTCTGTCAGCACCACAATCTCTGCCTTGGGGAAATAGGAGGACAGAGATGGAGGCCCTCACAAAAGCAGTGCTCCTGTTACCTGACTCATAATGAAGCGTAGCTCATTTCCTTCCCCCAGACAGCTACTGCCAGGCAGCTGTACCCTTGTGTGAAATGGGATCAGTTGAGGACTTAGGCAAAGTGTCCTTCATTCCTGTACACAGCTGAGCAAGTCATGTAGCATGAAGCATTCGCTGAAGGCTGGGTATGTAGCTCACTGGCAGAATGCTCACCCAGCAGTATACACTAGGATCACACTGATTCCCAGCCTGGTCCCCTCCAAGTAGAGGGTGCTGTGAACTAAGATGGGCACACGAGAGTCTGATGAAGCTGGTGGAGTGGCAGTCACCATTTCCTGAAGCATGCTGACTACTGTTGAACTAAGAAGGACTCTGTTTGTGGCACTGCCTTCTATCCTTTGGTTCCCACATGTGCTCTCCGCCTCCCTGCTTACCAGAATGATTTTGGTTTCGTCCAGTTCAGCTTGTACTTTACTCATGGGATCAGCTTCTCGGGGGTTCTAGGAACCAAAACAAAGGCAAGACTAAAAACGGAGTCCATACCTGTAAACAAACCTGAACTAAGGAAGCGGAACCAACTCTCACAATAAAAAGGCACAGAACAGAGAACTCAAAAGCCTGTCTAAAGCTAACTCTAAGTCCATGTTGTCCAGACAGATGGTTCACCGTGCACCAGCCTTGAACTACCTGGTTACTGACCTTGCCCAGGCCACAGCACGTCAAGGCGGTCTCTAGAGGACATTTCTCTAAACTCACCTGGTATCTGCTAAGGTGACCATCCAGGGCTGTGTACTGGATTGTATCAGGTGACCCTACTGGCCAGTCTATCCTATCGACCTGCTTGGAGAATTCATCTAGTACCTGCAAAACAAAGGAAACTCAACATATCTCCACCCATGCTCACCAGCACCCTCGGTGACCCAGCTTCACCAAGAGCACGCATCCCAAATGAGGCTCCTCCCGGGGTACCAGGACATCTAATGGCAAGAGAGCAGTCTAGGTTCAAGTCCCTCTTCTCAAATGTTTATGACTGAAACACATTTTAAGCAGTCTAGAAACAAAGTAAAGTGCCCAGCCTAAACTGCACCTGGAGAATGATAAAAGGATTCTCATTTTATACTAGTTTTAAACTGGCCCTCTAGTTTTCCAAGTAGTTCTTCCAGAAGGTGGTCTAGGCTCTTTGGATGTAAGCAACCACCAGATTCCACGTGCCTACAAGTGTTTTAATGAAACAGAGGACTAGGACAAGGCAGCTTCTGCCTCAGAGTTTATAATTACAAGTTCTTAGGTACTAAACTCCATAGAGTGGGTGGGAATGGGTGTGGTGCTGACATGCCTTTAACCTCAGTACTCAGGAGACAGACAGGCACAACTCTGAGTTTGAGGCCAACCTGAGCTACATTATGAGTTCCAGGCCAACAGGGCTACATGTAAGACCTGTCTCAAAAAAAGAAAAGAAACAACTCCATGAAGTCACTGATGTACATCAGGGGAGAGAGCTGCAGGAGCAGCAGGAAGACTACAGGAGCCTTCAGCAAGAGCAAAGGGGACAGGGCGACAGTTGTGCCCTATTTGGAGGAGGGGTAAAGCAAACCAGTGGCACGAGGGCAGAGTTAGCAGCAAGAGATATATAGGCAAGGATTTCAAATGTCTCCTGGTTTGGGGAAAATGATGACTGAAAATGTGGCCTCTGGACAAATCACCCCTTGTGCTTCAGGTACTGGGTCTACCATGTTTCACTTGCCATCCTAGCCTAGTCCATAACACACTCACCTTCTCCAGCAAGGTAAAGGCCACTCTCGAAGGATATTCACTGTCAGCAATAACCACACCTGCAAGACTGTCACTCCGGACGTAGACATGGCAAAGATACTCTGAGGAGACAAGAGATCTCACATGTGGCTGCTGACATGAGGGCTTCAGACACTGAATCTGCCAATGCATCATAATGCTGGCTCCTGCCTTCGGGTCAAACATAGCCACTCTGACACTCCTCTAGAACTCACCTGCTCTGAGTGAGACCAATGAAAGCTCTGTACCACAGCTCTGTGGGCCGTACCCAGGCACTGATTGATACCTTAGTTCCCTAGGACTTTGTGTGTAATGAGATCAAAATGGGCTGCCAGGGATGGAAAACACACCAGAGGCAATATCCCTCAGAGAAATTCCAGATCACCGCCTTTAGCTCAGGTCAGGCCTGGCTAAATCTTGGCAATTTATGGCTTTCTGAGGCTCTATGCTGTTCCTAAGTTGAGGGTATACCAGGCAAGACAAGCTGATTCTATTTTCTTAAAATAATTTCTTCAGAGTGGCTGAGAAGCAGAAAATTGCCTCCTAGGGCTTCAACCTCCTGTAATACAACATATGGCTTGACCTACTCCAGCTGGTGGTGGGTGGCCAAGAGGAACTGTCAGAAAAAAATGAGCCACTCCTGGCTGAGGTCTCTAGTGTTATTACACTAAAGCTGTTTGCAGAAAGCCTCTGCAAAATAATCATAATCCACAGGACTGTTTCAGAGATGAAATGGCTACCTACATCCCCAGAGTAAGAGGACCAAGGACAGGAGCTTACAAATAACAACACTCTTGTTCTAAGGATCTGACGCAGAAGATACCCATATTAAACAGAGAGGAAAAACAAACGAGGAAAGGATTAAGTCCCAAGAATCAGAGAGGGGCAGAGATCAACAAGAACAGAGAGGAGGTGAGATGGAGAATTATCATCTTATTTTGTATACACTCCCAAATAAGAATGAACCAAACATGGAGTCAGTTTCCATAGAAACTGAGAAGCCTGCCAGTGTGAGGAACAGTCCTTAAGTGATCAAACCAGGAAGGGCAGACAGCATGAAGGAGAGAGCACAGAGATACAATCACGAGTCCTTCTCACTTCTGTGATATTCTTCATGGAGAATACATGGTCAGTATTGCTGACAGCACCTATGTCTGTGACTCTATCATCAATTAAGGAACTCGATCCTCAGGCTACCGTCTATGTGAGGCTATTGTCTTAGTTAGGGTTCCTACTGCTGCAAAGAACACCATGACCAAAGCAAGTTGGGGAGGAAAGGGTTTATTTGACTTATACTTCCAGATCATAGTCCATCACTGGAGGAAGTTAGGACAGGAAGAAAATCAAGCAGGGCAAGAACCTGGAGGCAGGAGTTGATGCAGAGGTCATAGAGGAGATGCTCACCGGCTTGCTTCCCTTGGTTTGCTCAGCACACTTTCTTACAGAACCTAGGACCACCAGCTCAGGGCTGGGCCCTCCTCCGCTGATTACTAACTGAGAAAATGCCTTACAGCTGGATCGCAAGGAGGCATTTCCTCAGCTGAGGCTCCTTCCTCTGATGACTCTATAATTTGTGTCAAATTGACACACAAAACCAGCCAGTACAGTCGTCTTTGTTTATACCTGATGAAATTCATGTAACTTCCAATTTGTTTGTGACGTGTGTGAGTCTAAATAAATGCCCCAAACTGATATCCAAAACCTGAGTTATGAAATAAAGGAAAGATTCTGCTCAAACAAAATAAAACCAACTTAAGGAGCATAGAACACAGTATTACCTCACAAGTGCCAGTTAGAAATCCTCTTTTGAAGAACCCGCAACTCTGGGAGGAAAAGTAGAATGGCAAAAAAACAAACAAACAAACCCAGGCAGTGGTGGTACACGCCTTTAAAATCCCAGCACTCGGGAGGCAGAGGCAGGTAGATCTCTGAGTTCAAGGCCAGCCTCAGTAACAGAATGAGTTCCAGGACAGCCAAGACTGTTTCACAGAGAAACAATGTCTCAAAAAAACCCCAAAACAAACAAACAAAAAATAAAAACCAAAAGTAGAATAGGAAGGCTGCTGATGGCCTAAGAGAATCTCCCTGTCACTGCTTAGCCCATCAAGCCCAGGTGAGGGAGAGTCTAATCGTTACTGAAGGCAAGCTGTGCAAGTACAGCTGCATAGCAAGTTTCATATAGTTAGCATTGGGTTCAGAATTCTGTATGAATAGGAGAAGCAACAAGAGAAGGGACAGCAAAAGATTTGGTCCTGGGAGCAATGATATGGTACAGGAAGCACCGTGATCTGTCTACAGTGTGACAGCCAGGCCAGTACTCAGAAGGTGGTTGAGTCCTCTTACCTTGTTCCTTGACAGAGGCTCTGCTGCCTTTTGTTGAGCGTTCCACAATCAGCTGACTAGTAAAGGTCATGAATTCCTGAACACTAGGAAATACAACACATATTTATAACCTTCTTCCAAGTCACAGTGGAACAAGACCTCTGAGGTTCTAAATTAAGGAGACATTCATTGCCTCTTGGTTTTATTTCATTCCCTCTTAACCTTAGAAACAATAATAAGCACATTATAAATGAACACAAATGCATATACCATTATTCAAGTCATATCTGTGTACCTACCACTTCCAGATAGCTGAGACATTTTCTTTAGACTTCAGTCAATTTAACATTGCAATTGAAACATGATTTGGGGTCCAGTGATTTGGCTCTTTGGATATAAGCACCGACTGTCAAGCCTGCCAACCTGAGTTTGATCCCTGAGACTCACATGGTGGAAGGAGAGAAATGACTCCCACAAGTCCACGCCCACACACATACACACACAGGAAATAAAAATGTGACTGAGATTTTTAGGAAACCAACATGCTTGGGATCTGGTGGCAAAACAGAAAGCAGCGTTTGTACTGGTTCCCAAGAATCAGCATAAATACACACTGCTCTAAAAAAACACAAGTGGCAAAATCTGTCAGGCGGAAGCGCACCAGTAAGGGCTGTGGCCACAGAGTAGACCCTGGCTGGGAACGCCGCAGACCTACACCCCGAGAGAGAGAGCCTGGTCAGGTCTCTATGTCCTGAGCACTGTGGGAGGAATGGAAAGGAACAGATTAGTCAGGGTAAAAAGTGGCTCCTAAAGCTGCAGCAGAGGTTTGTCATGGGCCCAAAGCAGAGCTGTAGACCTGGTCAGAATAGAAGAGCTTCAGCAGATGGTCCAGCCAGAACAGACAAAAGCCTTCAACTGGAGATGCATGATAAAGGGCAGTCAGAACAGGGCTGTTTGTTGGCTTTTTTTGAGACAGGGTCTTTGTAGCCCTGGCTGTCCTGGAACTCTTACACAGACCAAGCTGAGAGACCCACCTGCCTCTGCCTCTGGAGTGCTGGGATTAAAGGTGTGCACCATCATACCTTGCAGTAAAGATTCTAAACTGCAATATCTGAAGATCTAACTCTGAGCTTTCAAGTCTACATGTCATGAAAATCACTGCGCTGACTCGGTAGTGAAAGTCCGGGGTGATAGTTAAAATGAGTTCATATAGAAAAGGCCCTGGTACCTTACCTGGCACACAGTATACTATTATTATCCTGAGGGAACAGCATGGTCAGAATAATCACACACAAAAAAATTATTTATTTATTTTCTTAAATCCCCAAGAAAGCCTTTGCAATAAAACTAAAAAGGCAATATCTAGAGCAGGAGTACAGTCATGTAATTAGGAAGAAGCGCATTCACTGTGAGACTAACAGGAAAGATGAATGGGAACACGTATCTCTCCGTGTCACTGCTGGTCACCTACCACAGCTAACGTAAGGACACCGAGGAAGACAGCAGTGGTACAGGGAAAGCTCTGGGAATCTTGCATATAAATAGGGAAAAGCTGAAAGATCTAGAGCCAAGTTGGCACCAAAGGTTCCCTCAGAGAAAAACAACGTCAAGCACAGAACAGAGGCCAGGGAACATAAAGTAGAGAAGCAGGAAGAGCTAGAAGGAGCCAAGAGCCGACACAACGATTCCATGCCTGGGAACAGACACCCCAGAAGACTGTGAGCTGGGTCTCTGTGTGTTCACATGGGTGCACACCTACGGGCAGGTGCGTGTGCACACATGGCACCATCCTCAGGAGCTATCCACCTTAGATGAGGCTGGTGTGGCGCTCACAGAGTAGGCTAGGCCAGAGGGCCAGTCACTATGCCCTGACCCCCATCATCTGGTCTCTGCCTCCATAGCTTTGGAAGTACAAGCGTGTGCCACAACACCCAGCTATTTTTTTAACCTGACTATTTGGGACCAGACTCAGGCCCTCACGTAGCAAGCACTGTCCTGAATGGGCTATAACTCCCTATCTCAAGCTATCTCCCAACCCCTTGCTAACTTTATTCACATAAAAGGCATAAGCAAAACCATTTCTACATAAAACTCAATAGTGTATAGACTTCAAAAGGAAGAAAATTTTGGTATCTGCAGCAACAAAGTAAGTAAAATCAGTGGGATACAAAAAGACAACCGCTATACCCACGACTCCACTTATATGGAGTCAAGATCAGAGACAGAGCCCAAAAGGGCAGATTCCCCCAGACTCTGACACAAAATAACCACAGGTCCTATCCTGTTGGGGCCTTCTCCTTTTATGTCTGAGTCACTACGCCCACCCCCACAAAGGGACTGGGCGTCTGTGGCACTTCCAATAAAGCACCCCAGAACCTTTTAAAAGCCATTAAGTCCTACAAATTCAATGCTTCCTTCCAAATCAAAATTGTGGACCCTTTTTGATGGCCAGGGCCTAAATACTAAGAAAGAGAATATGAGTTTGACTTGTGGCTGCACCCTACGCCCAATCCTTGAGGAACTGGTGACTTCAGTCATAAAAAGAATATCTCCATACAGCTCATACGGATTGCAGGAAAGGGCTCTGCGCAGCGGTTATCAACATGTGGGTCACAACCCCTGTGGCAACCTTCTATTTCCAAAACTATTTGCATTACTATTCACAACAGTAGGAAAATTACAGATATAAAGTAGCAAGGAAAATAATTTATGGTTTGGGAGGGTCATCACAACGTGAGGAACAGTATTAAGGGATCACAGCGTTAGGAAGGTTAAGAACCACTGGCTTTGACAAAATACCATGGAGGCTGTGAAGATACCAAACACTGATTAAATCACTGGGTGCGAGGTGGGAGTCAAAATGCTTATTTCTGGGTCTCTATACCCTACTTCACGACATTCGGTGGCGAACCTGGTAATCCGTACGATTTTCGAGTATTCTCCCAATCTTTCTACCACAGGGCGGTACTGTGGGATGACAGGGACGCTGGGGACGGCTCCTCTGGCACAGCGCGCTGCCCGAGGCCTTGGCGGGGCTCCCCGGAGAGAGACCCGACTCCCCGCCCTCCCGGCCCAGCCCCCAGGGACCGGCCCACTCACCTGGACCTCTGGAAGAAACTGAAGGAAGACACGTCGTATGCGGCTTTGAGCAGCACCGCTTTGGGGTCGCCTTTGTAAAGGACGCTGAGGCTGTACAGCTTCATGGCGCCGCGCCTTCGGGCCGCCGGCTGGACCCCAGACCCGCTTACGGGAGCGCGGCCGCCGTCCTTCAGAACAGCCGCGGCCGGCTGCTGACGGGGCCGCGCCGGCTTCTTCCTCCTGACTTGGGGGTCCACTTCCGGTTCCGGTCGAAGGTTGCACTTAATGCTCAACGGAGGACGGAAGTTAGAGTACACGCGTGCGCACATCTAAGAGGCGGGCCGCGTCTCGTCTGCCGAGGTCGGTGCCAGGAGCGGCGGGCTCTGCCTGCGTGGCAGTGCTTTGGTGTGTGTTCTCTTCCGGGCTGTCGCGTGGACCACGGCTGGCGGTCCTAGACAGTGCTGTGCAACCCATACCTGTCCCCACGATCGACTTCTCGGTACGCTTTCCATGTAGCAGGTACCAGGCGTATCCCCAAAACAGAGGTCTAAAAGAAATGTCCTCAATCCCTTCCATTGCAGTAATAAACATCAGAAACGTCACTGGCTGTGGCCAGGCCCAGTAACCCCTGATATGGGCACGCTTGTTCGACAAGCCCAGCGGTCAGATGCTGTCATCCGGTCCCATTCGCCTGCACTGACACAGTGGCTCTACAGGCGGCAGGTGAGAATCATTTCTGTAGAAAATCGCTTCACCTAAAATTAAACAAAATGGCCAGGAGGACAGTGAGTGGGCACAAACTACCTTGCAGAAAGAGATTTAGGAAAATGGTTAGTAAGGAGCAGAGCTGGGGTTCAACCGTGAACCCTAGAACGCTCAACAAACTCCCTTACAGCCCACCTCCATTCTTGGCACCTCTTCATGCTCCCCTCGGTACTCAGCCTCCCTTGGTCCCAGGAAAGCTCATCTGATCATATGCAAATCTCCCAAGCCAAGCTTGGTAATCTATTGCAAAGAATATTTGTCTTCCACTCCGTTTCCCCAGCTGTTACCCAACTTGAATTCAGCCCCACGACTTCCACACCACAAAAGTGAGGATTCTCCCCTCACCCTGTTAGCTTGGAAAATATCCTTTTTGTAAACATGTTGCTAAAAACGATAAAGTATAAGATTCCAAGCCCTACTCATTGCAGATGTTTAACAACGATGATGATGATTTGCATCGTTATCTATGTTCAATAACAAAAGAAAGAAAGAAAGAAAGAAAGAAAGAAAGAAAGAAAGAAAGAAAGAAAACGAGCTCATGACAGGTTGAAGGTGCCCTACAGGCTGTTGGAAGCAGAGATTTAAGGCAGTCTAAGGTCTGAGCAAGGTCTATAGATTAGATAATAGCACTGTATTTTTATTTCTAGCTTTCAGTCACTGCTTGGTCATAAAAGAAAATTCTCTGGTTTTATGAGTAGAAATAAATGAATATCTTGTATACAACTTGCTTGTAAAGAGTTCATATGCATATATACATGTGTATTCCTACATGTTGGGATATCACATATATGTATATCTATGTACATGTATATATTTGTATATATGTGATTATGAACATATACATATAAGCCTGTATTAGGGTTCGCTAAAGGAACAGAACTGACAGAATAAATATACATATATTAAAAAGGATTTATTAGCTTGACTTCAGGATGCTCTATAAGTAGGCTCACAATGGCTGTCTCACACTGGAGAGGCCAAGAACTGGAGAGGCCAAGAATGTGGTAGTTGGGGCTGGAGAGATGGCTCAGCGGTTAAGAGCATTGCCTGCTCTTCCAAAGGTCCTGAGTTCAATTCCCAGCAACCACATAGTGGCTCACAACCATCTGTAATGAGATCTGGTGCCCTCTTCTGGCCTGCAGACATACAGACAGACTATTGTATACATAATAAATAAATAAATATTAAAAAAAAAAAAGAATGTGGTAGTTGCTCAGTCCTTGAGACTAGCTGTCCCAGCGGACTCAATCTGGTGCTGAAAGTCTGGAGGATTCCTGGTGTCTTAGTTAGGGTTTCAAAAATCCTAACTGAAACACCACGGCTGAAAAGCAAGTTGCCGTTTATCACTGAAGGAAGTCAGGGTCAGGAACTCAAACAGGGCAGGAACCTAGAGGCAGGAGCTGATGCAGAGGCCATGCAAGGGTGCTGTTTTTCATTGACTTGCTCAGCCCCCCCCCTTTTTTAATTTGTGTATTTACTGTGTATACAGTGTTCTGTCTGCATGCCGGCCTGCAGGCCAGAAGGGACATCAGATCTCATTATAGATGGTTGTAAACCACCATGTGGTTGCTGGGAATTGAACTCTGGACCTCTGGAAGAGCACCTGTGCTCTTAACCCCTGAGCCATCTCACCAGCCCTCAGCCCACCTTTCCAGGATGACCAGCCAAGGGATGGCACCACCCACCATTGCCTGGGGCCCTCTCCCATTGATCACTAACTAAGAAAATGCCTTGTATCTGGATCTCATGGAGGCATTTCCTCAGCTGAGGCTCTTTCTCCTCTAATGGCTTTAGCTTGTGTCAGGATGACACATAAAACCAGCCTGTACACCTGGAGAGATTGGTCTTCGGCCTACATTTGAATCCCTAAGAATTTGGTTCTGATATAGGCGAAGGACTACGACAGCAACAGGGCTGTAGCCAACAGCCTGGAATTTCCTTCTTCCAGGTCCTTCTATCTGGATTACCACCAGGGGGTGCTGCACAGATTTAGGGTGGGTCTTCCTGCTTCATTTAATCCGCTCTAGAAAATCTGTCACGGGAGCACCCAGTAGCTTGTGTTTTAGTTGACTCCAGATGAAGTTGATTTCACAGCCAAGGTTATTCACGACGATGCTAAAGACAAAGCAAACGTGCTAAAGAAGATGTAAGGGATCCAGTTAAGAGTGTCCAGAAAGTCCTGCGCTGTCCTTGTCCTTCAGGAAGCCAGGAATGTGGGCCGAGGAAAGCTTGCAAGCATGACTCGCTGAGATGCGAGCTCAGCCTCATGGCTGTGAGATGGTTTGGCTCTGGCGTCCAGTCTCCCCGTGAGTCCTGAGAGAGAGCTCAGTGGGGAAGGCATCTGCTGCCAAGCCTGCTGACCTAAGTTTGATGCCCGGGACCCCCATGGTAGGAGAGAACCAAGTTGCTGTCTCACCTTCATATGCACACAGTAACATACATGCCAACCCCTGAATACTCACATGTATGTAGGCACACTAACATATAGTAATATTATTAAATATATATATTTATAATACAACTTTAAGATTTTTTTACGTGTATGAGTGTCATTCTTTTTTGCTTTGTTTGTTTTTTGAGACAGCGTTTCTCTGTGCAACAGTCCTGGTTGTCCTTGAACTCACTTTGTAGACTCTCTGAGATCTGCACACCTCTGCCTCCCAAGAGCTGGGATTAAAAGTGTGCACCACCACCCAGCTGTGCTACCACTGGTTGGCATTTGCCTGGCATGTTATTCTTGCATAGATGTGCAGGTGCCACGTATACGCATGGTGCCCACGGAGGCCGGAAGAGGGCATCCCATCATTAGATTCCCTGGAGTTAGAATTGCAGATGTCTGTTAGCTACCATATAGGCGCTGGGAACCAGACTCAGGACCTTTGCAAGAGCAGTTAGTGCTCTTAACCACTGAGCCATATTCCCTGATCATAATTTTTAAAAGGCCTCTTTGCAAACATATTTAGAATAACAGTTTCTATGACCAAAGACCCAGGTTCTATGCATTTGTCCAGTGAAAAAGGCAATCACCCACCTGCCTCTGAAGCTTTGCCCAACTCACAAGAGGTGTTTACCCCAGCTACACAGCAGAGCCCCTAAGAAACCAAGGAGACATTGAAAGGGATTACTTGTGTGGTCAGACTTCCATGAGAACAGTTATCAAATTGTAGGTGCATGAATATATATGCATATGTATATTTATGTGTATATATGTATGTATATTAGCGCTAGGGATAGAACCCAGATCCTCATTCATGCTAAGCAAGTCTCCCCCACTTGCTGCCTCGCTGCACAAATCTGTGCCCTCTTTGCATAGATTTAATAAGCTATACAAATTCTCAGCAGACCCTGACCTTAGGAACATCACTCCCATACCTCGACATGGGGATGTCCCAGTTTCCCCTGGGTTCTCTGGGCAGCAGCAAAGATAGACTTGGATTGCCACAAAATTTTACTTCTGCCACTGGCTATGTCAGTACAAAGGAAGGGCAAGGATAATGCGGTACTTGGAGAAGAAGGGATCACAGCCAAGGAAGACAGGCCAGGTGAACCGTGTCAGAGCTTTCTGGGTTAGCGAGACAGGGATTTGCAGACCGCCCTCCCTGCAGGGGTTTTCCCGAAGCTGTGTTTGTCCGAGAGACAGCCTTCTACGGCTGGGAACTAACTGTGCTGGACAAACGCCAGACATTTGAGATGGGAATACACAGTCATTTAGGCAGTTTGCTTATCCTGTCCCTGATACTTGATGGCTGTGGGCCAGCCCTGCAAAGGAAGTGGAAGGGAAGCTTCAGAGAAAATGGAGGAGCAGGCAGGAGAGCCTTTAGGGGTTACTCCTGCTCCACAGCCTGCATGGACTTCCCTTAGCCTCAGTGGGCATGGATCCCAGCTGAGGATATGAGCACACAGAGGAAAGGTGAGAAAATGAGGCATTGTCCTGGGAGCTAGGCACACCAACCCAAGCCTGACGGCACCCATCGCAACAGTCACGGAGGAAGAGTTCCTGCAAGGAAACTCTGCCGTGGGCTGTGGATGCCGCTGATCCTCATGGCCTGTCTGGCCCGATCCTTAGCTATCAAGAAGCACCTGCTGCACCAGACCAGCCCTCACCACAGCAACACTGGTCCTCCAAAGGGCTCCTGCCTCACACTGTGCACAAAAAGCCACCCTCGGGATTGTGAGAGCAGCAGGGGAGTAGAAGAGTAGCCAGAGCACAAGGAACGCCATCAGAATTCTGGATGCTCCTAACATAGTCACAGAAAGGCTAATTGCTTGTTAAATAGGTGGTTTGGAAAGTGTTTGAGGCGGGATTGCTGTAAGATTGTGTCTCTTAGAAATGATGAGGAAGCTTTACCCATGATTCCTCAACACTACAGCTACCTAAACAAGACCTGAGCAAGTATACACCAATAGACATGCTTACGTGGAAGAGGGAATCTCATAGGGCCCCACCCGGAAATCAAGAACGGCCAGCAGCCAAGGAACACTGAGAGCAGGAGAAATAGTGGTCCCCTTTTATG